TCTAACTCCTCTGTTGTTTCTGACAAATGCATGGCGGGTCATTTTGTATAGGTTTAAAGTAATCAAGCAAAACTCCCCCGAGTTTTGCAAATTCTTCTTGTCTAGCTTTGCTTTAGTTTTCGATACTCAGCACCCGACTATTTTCTCTTCGTGGTGTTTAACATTGCACCATGATCCATGATGCACAATACATAATATTAAAATAGATTTCCCACACAAATAGAATTATCAAATGAAATGTTTGTAACTTTGTGAATTACATCTGTATTGCCAGCAAAGGAAGCTCAAAATGAAAGTTTTCCATTTTGAGACATTAATTTAAGTGGTCCTTAAATGTTGTTGTTCAAAAAATATCTTAATTTCAATTAAATATATGCTGTTATGCACATTCGATAACTGCAGATAAATGAATCTTGAACATTTACAAAGCAGCTTTAAGTGATTTAAAAAAGGTTTACCGTATAATAACTTGCTTTACTACAGAAAATGACAAATGTGTCGTCGTAACAATAAAAATGTAAATAAGACAATACGAACACTGCAGTACATGCTGTAGTATCATCAAGTGCTACTTCATGTTAGACTATGCATTATGAAAACAATCTACCGAAGACTACACTACTGTCATAAAATTTTAAAAATATATTATTACGCTTGGATTAATAATAAGATACAATGCCAGTAACGATTTCTGTCTGTGAGGGAAGCAAAAAATATTGATTAAGATGGGCAAAAAATTACACATGTTTTGGCCTTGTTGCGTCCCTTAAGAGGACAATTTGGCCATGTATGCATAGGCAAAACTAGAACGCTAATTGGGGGGTGGTGTAAATATTCATATATTCAGCTCTGTCCTGCTGATGATTTCTTTTGTTGGGGATGCTAAATTCAATAGAAATCACCAGGGCAAAGCTGAATATATGAATATTCACCCCACCCACCCCCCCAATTAGCGTTATAGTTTCTCCCCTACATGTGTGTTGTCTACAGTCATCGTGACAAATCATGCAGGCGTTGTGGCCACAAACGAAACATCTAAATCTAGAGTGCTCGTCAATATAACTTAATTCTTTAATTGACTGTAAATCGACCCCCCTGACAAGGTTTCATTTTGGTCTGTCTATTTCCTTTCTTCCATAATCCCCTAAAGTTAACTTCATTCACTGAATATATAACTGTGAAAATAAATAGGCTGCCCCCCTGCCCCCCCCTGCTAACACGCCACTGATTGATAATAATTTAAATAGAACGATTCACACACAGTTAGCGCCTATAGCAAATATGTTGTATTAAGAACGTTACTGTAGCATTTGCATAATTTGTTGCACGCAAATTATATTTCCATCTAAGCTAATTTCCGTTGCATAAAGACAAAAAAGTAGATACAAATCACCAAAAATTAGTTTCACCATAATTTATTTGAAAAACGACTTTTTTTCCGCTGAGGATAGCACAATGAATAAGTATAATTTATAGTCAGTTTCTTATTTTTGACTCTAAAGGTCCGTTTCTTTTCCCTGTAGTGAAAGCACGTGGAAAAATGACAATACAAACAGACTTTATGCTTAATGATCTTAGTAAAGTTTGCTTCAAAGGCTATTTACTGCCATATGCATACAATTTTATAAGGAATGAACACAATTCATGATGCCGGGATTATGAAAAGGTCTCCTATTACTTCAATGTAAAATACATTTCTACGATTTCAAGCTGACTGTGTAAAGATGCTTTCAAAAATAACATCTCTTCACTTCAGAACTTTTCAATAAATGAAAAAAAGATAAGAATATTTATGATATAAACAAACAGAGCTGATTGTAAAACAATATTACCTTGTGATAGTCCTCTTGATAACACAACTAACAAAGCGAACAGTTGCAGGATGAAATCCATGTTTCAAGGCAATCTCTCGGTTGTAAACTTAATTGAAATTGTTTCAAAATCTAGAACAATCCAAATCAGAGTTATCTTTAAAATTTGGCACTTCGAACGGAATCCGACTGCCTTAAATTTCAATGTCAAAACGTGGATGTTGTGACAGACTGCTCCTTGCTGTCACGATATCAATAGATCAACAACAGCATTCATTCCTAGTGAACACAGACGCATTGTCAAATTATTAAAAGCTCAACAGATTAATTATAATTCTGCGCTCTTAATCACGCTTTCACGTACGGGGGGTGGTTGAAAATAACTTCTGAATTTATTGTCGGATTCAAGGTGACTAATGTCGTCGACCAAAGCACTTGAAAAATTTATAAGACAATTAGTTAACGAGTAGTCCATGGAAGAAATTAAACATGTCTCTTTTTAATTCGTAAACGATAATTTTTTCCATTTGACGAGTCCCTTTTCCTCCTGCATAACATCAGTTGATATTATTAAATTTTTAAGTGTCTGAAGTATCAAGTTACGTGCTTTGATAACTGCATATCGTACGCACAATGGATTGAAGTAAAATATCAACTCATGTTCACTAATACATATGGGTATTTAATTGATTTCTAAATATTTCTTCTATGGACAAGATATTTTATTTCATTACTGCAAATAGTAGCATAATCAGTGTGATTGAGGTAAGCAAAACGAGTTCCCACTTCCTCACAAATTATATGGTTTTAATTTGCCTAGTTTAGCACCGTAAACGTAAGAACGTAAGTCTGTTATTTAGAATCAGTGTCTACATAAAATATTTCAATACAAGTAATATATGCTTACCTTTCTATTTGGAGAAAATTTACGTTTTCTGTTTGAAAAGATACGTCGTTGACTCGTTGGAATGATTTTCGATCATCCTTTGCCCAATAAACATTGCTGATGTATATTTATTTATTATCATATAGTGCGGTAATTGATCCAACAATTCAGCGCCACCTATTCACAAATCTGTGCAATGACTCGTGGTCCTTTTAACAACACTGTCAAAAAAAAAAAAATAATCAGAAAACAAATTAGTCGGGCACAGCTGGACGTTGACTTCTATCTCAAACCCCCACCACCCACAATTAGCATTCTAGCTTCGGCTTTGCATGAGTGTGATCGTTGTTTGTCTAGATAGTTTCTAAATGAACTGTACAGTGATAGTTTCATAGTTTGTTTTTAGATCTCTATGCTACAGTTGGCTGCACAATTTGACCACCCCTAATTTTTACACTCTTTGTTTTTATCACCTCTATTCCATCTCACTACACTAAAAACTTTTTACACCACCCTGATACAATATATGAAAATCCGTTCAATTAATGACAAAATTTTTTTTAAGGCAAGTTATCAACAGCTGCATTTGTATCTAGCTACTATACCTCATTGTACTAATATGTCAATAATGAAATTTGTTGCTTTTTTTTCATTGGATAAACTGCGGGTGTAGAAAGGTGCAGGTTTTTTTATACATTTTCCTCAGCCGATTTAATGCACTGGTGACTTTTGATAACAGAGTTTTGCAGACAATTCTCTCAGTGAAGCAATAACATATTGCTGGATCATTTTTCAGTCTTTTTCTTCATTAACGTAGCAAGCCTGAACGTTTACTATAAAATAATGTTTTATACAATAAGTTCTCACAATTAAAATTTTTCAAACAGGATCTAATTTGCAGATTGGCTACTTCTGTGTTTTCCCTTCATGGATAAATAAAATTTCTCTTATCGGAACTCGGGCTAAGTTGAAAAAACTAATGGTAATAGTAGACAATTTCAAAATTACTTTCAGCTTGCTTGAAAAGTGGTATTGCTGGCTTGCAACCATTTCCCCGGGAGTAAGAAAACAATGGAATGCTCGCCATATTGGATGAAATTTGCATTGTAAATAAGGAAAATCCTCTGTTAAAGTCATCCAACATGGCGGCTATGAATTCTTGCAAGCCATATGAATTCTCGAAAGCAAATACAATCTATTTCTTTGACTAACGCATTGACACCATAAGAAGCAAAGATTACAAATCCTAATTAATGCTGAACCCTTCATTTCAAACCTTTCAAATATACTTGAAAAGATGTACATCAACTTGAAATTGATCGGCTGCTTTCTCCAAATAAGATATCGCCAGCGCAAACATGTAGTCAGAAATCTTTACATTTGCCTCGTGGTTTTCTTAACGTCATGATACTGTTCTTGTCTTTCTCATGCACTTGTACACTTTTGATTAATCGTCGAAAATTGTCAAACGTACAAACTTCTTGCAGTCAAAATGGTGATTTAGATTTAGAATATTATAGAGCTTGTGAAAAAAGGTAGACTCTTAGATTTAGGTAAATGATTTGGCACTGTAATGAATACGTTTCTAAAAAGATGAATATTGATAATATTGTGAAATTTCCATAACAGGAAACAAAGAGAGAGAGCTGTATTCGCTATTAAGGTTAAATTATATCCATCTTCATAAGTGCGCTTTGGGACTTTCTTTTGTCGTGAAGCATTCCTAAGCCAGCCATATACACGGTGTTTCTCCACGTACAAACAAAAACATCAATTAAACAACAACAAAAAATATAAAATATCTTGGATACTGTACTTTAGCAAACTTTAATGTCAGACTTGCATGCATAAGCAGAATTACGCAAAAACAATAATTTAGTTCATTTTCACGCAACGTGAGAAAATATTTTAAAGGTTTTCGTTCTTAATGAAACTCGTATTATATTCTCACAGAGGAGTTGTCTCTTGCTTGTTTTTGTTTAGGTAAAAGTACGCAGTGCGTGCCTATTTTTACACTTGTTTTGCTTTTGTTCAACATTCGCAGTGAGCAATCAACGAGCAGTGTTGATGTGATTTCTCTTCAGAAACGTACAAGTTTTTTCAAACAAATACCAAATGCTTGCTCGAAAATGGCACGATGCGCTTTGTCTTCTGTCGTGTGAAAATCTTCAAAATATTTTTAATCAGTTAGCAAGGGTTTTAATTCAGGCCCTTATTTTACATATACATGGAAGGGGGACAAGTCCTGTCATCTTTCATTTCGGCCCACCCAGTCAACAATTATCTGTTCCCCAGAGCGATAGTTCCGAGAAAAATTCTATAATTAGAAAGTTTATACAGCAGAAAGATAAAGTGCAAAAGTCAGAAAGTTTATCGTCTTATTCATCTCTAAAATCCTAAGTTTAAAAAACAAAAAAAAAACCTGTAGGGAAATTACAAAGGGCTATTTAATAAGAGTCATTATTATGTCCATTATTAAGTTGTTTCTCAATAATTTTCTTCCGTTACAACAGACTTCATCCATTGACGAAAAGGAGATTACTATAAATGTTGTGGTGTCCAATGTCATGGATGGTAAGTGACCGGTCCATTAATTTGGAATGGACAAATAAATGAAAATTTGTAAAAAAATTTAATAACAAATTTAAAGAAAAACAGTCAGTAATCAATCTTCACCAATTTCACTACTGCCACCTTCGCTACTTACGTCAGCATCTGAGCCCGTGGACGGTGGATCAGTTTTTTCATCATTTAGATCGATTTTCATGTCAGTAATTAACGTAAACAATTCAACAGTAACGTAAAGAAAAGCCACTGAAGTGGTCAGCCACGTGAATGTGATAAAAGTCTCTTTGAATCCCTTATGATAGATGTGCAACCCTGACAAAAATGCTCCCAAACCTGATCCAATACCCCAATATACACCATGAAGTACAGCTAAAACATATTAAAGTATATACAGATGTAGTTCTTCAAATAATAACCAAACATTAACATTGCAGCTAAGAATTATGCTATTTTTAAAAAAAATACATGCTAAAACATGCATGTTTTCAAACAACTTTTTTTCAAAGAACAATACTTACTTTGTAATTGAAAATCTGCCCCAGCTGGTATGTACAAATCAAGAATGTATGAACATGTTGAAACTAGAAATCCATAGAATAACGCGTGAAACACTTCAATGGCAATTACGATCCACGGGTTGGAAACCAAATAGTACACCACAAACACTGCAATATGGCCAACTAGACCGATGCTAATTATGGAAGAAAAGCCTGCAAATTCTACGAGTTTTCTCAGGAGGAAAAAAAGAAGAACATCAGTAACACTCTTGCACCATGTGGCTAAGCCCATGATGATCGCATTTCCACCTAGACTGTCAATGAACCAATTGACAAAAGACAACAAAAAACCATTACAGAATCCTGTAAATGAAAAAATCATGAGTAGTATGCCGTATTGAAAATTAGATCGAGGACTACCAATCTTCTTGATTTTATAATTAGCAAAATTTCCATCCAGTGTTAGATGTGAACCAACGAGCAACGAGATGTTAGAAAGGACTAAAGCAAAGATAAAAATATAATGATATGCATCAGTCATCTTTCCACAGACTTCGCGTTGGTTTTCATGTATTACAATGGCAACAATTGGAGACATTAGCCCCCAGCCAATCGTTCCAGAAAGTCGAGTTACACCATAGTTTTGACCTTTATTTTTCAGACAAGAATGATCAACCAATGTAAAAAGAGCTGCATCAAACATATCAGAAATTAAAGCAACAATTAATGCGCTGTAAAACAAAATCGCAACTTCTTCCTCATCATTAGACACCGTATACTCGACTACATCTCTCGTCGTTGCATTAGCTATCGAAGAATTGGTTATTACTAAGTTATGTTCAACTGAAAAGGTTTTATTTCCTCTCTTGTTTTCAGCACTATGAAGAAAGTTTCTTGTATCGCGATTTTTAAAAGCCATACTCTGCAACGTTTTGACTAAGTAGTTGTCTTTGCGATCTTCTCCCGTTCTTGCTGCCAGATTACCAGATTGCCATGTGTCCATTGGCCAACGAAGCATGACTGCCCTTTTGCTCAACTTGTGCTCAATAACATAAGAACGCTTCACTTGTATTCGTGTATTATTTGTGTATTTTACACTGTTCATCACACAACGTTGCTTGGATGGCCTTAGGAAGAGAAATAAACCTAGGATCTTGAGGATAGCAATAACAGACGAACAGATGAACAAGATTTTTCGTGAGTTAAGTCTATCACTAATTGATATCAAAAGTGGTGTTGCAAGTCCTTGGAATAAAGGACGAACACCACTGATTATTCCAACTTGGAAAGCATTCAGACCAATATGCTTGAGGTAAAGAGGAAAATACAAAAGAAACGGTATGTAACCACAATAAAAGACGAAATAAAATACTCTATAATGCGTCCAGTTTAGAATTTCACGAACTTTCTTCGAGAACATGGTTTAACGCGAGGTCCAACTCCAGCGTTCTTCTTGATTTTATAATTCAAACCAAATTTCCACAAGGCAGATTGAAACAACCACTACATGTCTTTACGTTGCCTAAGTATATTGCTCAATGCTTCGTCGACCATGCTCAAAAGAATTTGCATTTCACAAGTAATTATTACCATATACACCCACATTTGCGCATCCAGGCGTTAAGAACCAGTGTTATGAACCATGAAAGTTGCAGCGTATTCTCGCAATATTCCAGAAGTTTTAAAAGTCTTTAAGAATTGGCATTTCATACATCTGAAAAGTGTAGTCAATTCCACGTATAAAATTTTATGTTTTACAGTACAATTTTGATGAAATGTATCGTACAAAAAACTGTTAATGTGTGAAATCATAATCAAATATTTTTCTCGTGTGAAGAATCGTGACAACAAACACAATATTTGAATAACATGTCAAGAAAGTTTGAGTTTTAATCAGGTTTACGCTATTAAAGTCTTTTTTTTCAAATTGAATAATTTGTAAGAACTTTGTAACTATAGTTAGATGCGAAATAAAATATGAAATTGCGACTAATAACCACTCATCGGAGCTGCATTATAAAGGAATACCCTTGAAAGGCCAAGACAATGACAATTAAAAAGAGACAAACGGAGACATCAAACCCTCAGATTATTGTCTCTTGTCTTAGCGGTAAAGAGATTAAACAAAGTTCCTTGTCAAGCAAGACAGTCAGGATGTAGCTAAGAGCTTAGAATTGTGTGCATGGCTTAGTATGTAAACATTCGACGAGGAATGAGATTTAATTTTTATTGAAGATTTCTAACTAGGGAAGTAAAAATTTGGTTTGAACGAAAACACAAACAATTCTTTACACTTTAGTTGAAACGTGTTTTCCTACTAAGCTATATGTTTAGTTTCTTCTAAAGCGAAAGTACAATATGCTTTCTCTAAAGCTGTTCTGGGGTTACTTTTTGACTGTATACAGTTTTTAGATGTTAGCAGAACGAGTCAAACATTAATAAACAACAATAACTTCTCACTGAGGTAGTCATTAATGTAATGAACCAGTATGCGCGACTGAATTTTTTTGTACGTTACTAAGTCTACATAGTTGTCTGATACAATTATGGTCATAAAATAGTATGAGGAGGCAAAATAAAAAATTTTTAGCTGTAAAAAAATTATTTACAGCTTTTTGGCCTTTCAGTGGCTCAAGTAAAATTTTTGCAAATAATTACCATTTCAAGAGTGAAAATTATGATATGGAAAAGCACTTTTGAAATACCTTGCGCACGAAAATGACAAAGCTTAAAACTAATAGGAACAAGTAGGGTCATTTTATGACACGTTGCACATGGTAACAAAGTTTTAGAAAATTTGGATGAGGTGTAAGCGAACGTTTGGATTTCAAACTACAAATCAAAGGTTTCAAAATGGCGATTAAAAAGGAAAACGTTAAATAGCTCACAATTTGGATGCCAAGCGTTCGTATACGGTTAGGCCAAACTTCCCAAAACTTTGTTATCTTGAAAAACATGTGATATATTTCAACACTATGTGTTCTAATTGCTCTGTAGCTTTAATTATCATTTTCGCGAGCGCAAGCCATTTCAAAAATGCTCCTCGGTAACTCAATTCTCACTCTTATTTGCAAAAATTTTATTGTCAGATGAGCTATTGAAAGTCCAACTGCCTATTCCACAAAACGTTTTTGGAGATCTTACGCGCTGATCACTTTAGTAACATTTTTCTTCTAGTTCAGTTGTTTCTGAAACACCCTGTATCATTGAAGGTTCGTCTAAATGTGAGGTGTACTATAAGTTGCGAAATCCAGCGATTAATAAAGAAAAATTCTCAAAAAATGATAATTTAACGCAAAAAGTCCAAGTTTTGAAGATCTCGCGTTTGCCAGCGCTTGCCTTAAATTGCTTAAAATTTTAATAGCTTGTACAACACGTTCCATATTTTGACTCAAAGTGATTAAACTGTTTTTCCGATGAGTATTTTTTGTGCGCAAGGTTTGTTTTGAAGGACTTTTAACAACAGTTTTTTCACGGGTAAAAAAACGTATAATTTCAAAATTTTATTATCAGCTGTACCAGAGAAGGTTAAAGTACTTTGAGTAACAAACGTTCTGGCTTATTCCACGCACGTCTTGTTTTTCCTAGAAATTTTTCCTAAGTTTCTACTTTTTTTATACACCCTTTATATTTACCAATATAATGAAGAAAATTATTTACCTTCTGTAATAGACCTTTTCAAGGTTATCGTAGCCATATTGCAGGGGGTGCAAAAACATTGGGCCGAGCGCGCGGTCACGCATGGCGTCCATATAAATTACTAATAAATGCGCAAAAATTACCCTTATACATATTGGCCATTTCTTTCAAAAATATTTCTCAAACTCATCCATTTTAATAGTCAAATTATTATTTGCGATTTTTTATACACGTGAGTCCAATTTTGTGGTAATCAAAAAGCGGAAAGTTAAAGAAAACATTTGTTTTTTTTGAACAACTTGACCGTCGTTTGAGCGATGTTCTTGAGTTTGCAAATGTGCGGATCTTATAAGCCAAGTCAAACGAACTAAACCCTAAACTAGCCGAGTAGCCGTGAGCAGTCATAGCCGAAATGGTAAAAAATGCGCGTTGTGCAGTTGGATATTGCGATAATGATAAACGCTATCCCTATTATCAAGTTAAGAGGTCTCACGTAGAAAATTCAGTTTTTCATTAGTGGCCCAAAGATCAAGCACTTGCTGAAATTTGGCGAAAACAAATTGCAAACAGCAGAGCCGATGACTTTAACCTAAAGCCTGGTGCCCAAGGTACTTAAGTTTGCTCAAATTATTTTCCCTTGGTAAGAAGAACCCCAAATAACCGCGGAACGGATTATACTTCGGTTTTTATCACGCTATCAGAGTACGAGCAATCGAGGACTCCGCTTAAACGTAAAGGAGGAGAAACATGGACGACATCAAAGCGTCCTCATCAATCCTATGACACTGAGTATTCTGATTCAAGTTTTAATGGAAATCCAGCAAAATCTGAGGCATCTTTACTTCCTGTCCCTTAGGAATTTGAACAGTTGACGAGGGAGTATGATGTAAGGTTTCACACCGGCCTGCCATCGATTAACAGTTTTAAGTGTGTATTTGAATACTTGGCTGTTTCTTCTTCTGGCTGTTAAGACGCCGTACATAATAATAAAAATAGCAATGTCACTTTACAAATAATTGGAAATACTAATAAGAGTTTGCCGTAGAATAGTTCCTCGTGATACTTGCTGACTTTGCTGTAGACATGTGCGTGTGTTGCGAACTCAAGAACATCGCTAAAACGACGGTCAAGTTGTTCAAAGAAAACAAATGTTTTCTTTAACTTTCCGCTTTTTGATTACCACAAAATTGGACTCACGTGTATAAAAAATCGCAAATAATAATTTAACTATTAAAATGGACGAGTTTGAGAAATATTTTTGAAAGAAATGGCCAATATGTATAAGGGTAATTTTTGCGCATTTATTAGTAATTTATATGGACGCCATGCGTGACCGCGCGCTCGGCCCAATGTTTTTGCACCCCTTGCAATATGGCTGCGATAACCTTGAAAAGGTCTATTAAATGGCGAGAGCCTGCATATGATGAATAACGATCAAGGTTAACACCTGACTTATTTTTAGGTTTTCATTGTTTTTGTCTGTCGAAGTCATCATATATGTCAGCAGATCATTTTGTTTCACATTGTTAGTGATGTCCAAGGCAGTTAATAATTCTGTAAATAGACAAAGTTTAAATGTCAAGGAGAAATTTGATCTCCATATACAAATTAACAGAATCATCAGCCAGAACGTGATCAGATACATAGAAGCATCAATTCAACAAACAGATGAAAATTTTTTTGCAAAAAAATGAAGTCTTTCATCGTTTATTTTATACTTCTTGCTTCCTTTCCTGTTAAAGTTTCAAATTCAGGTAAGATAAGGCATTTATTATTAAACTTTTTACTTATCACTTGAAACTCATTATATATATTTCAATATAACTTAAATAACTTACTGCATAGCTATAACATAGCTATATCTAAATAAAAAAAATATTTTTAAACTCAAAGTATATTTTGATTTGAATTTAAAATGCGCTTGATCTTTGTGTAAAGATTTATTGTTTTAATATTGTGAAACTAGTATAAACAAGTATAAAGGCACTTATATGAATACCAAACATTCTCTAAAATGCCTCTTAACTTATACTCTAGATTAATACATTGGCAGATATGTTTACCTAGCACTCAGGTAAAGGATGTAATAATAAAGGTTTTGTTCACAACAACCAACTCTGTCTCATATTGTGGAATATGTATTTTATTTTGACTTCAGTAGGTAGTTTGAAACGCTGTCAAACGGTAAAACATTCTTTAAGGGAATTGCTTCCAATTATTGCAAATATTAACAGTGGCAAAGCAAGCCCGATTACTCATTTTTGGTGCCTTTTTGTGTCTTTATGGTCACTGTGAAAACAATATATTTCTAAATTAAGAAAAGAATAATGACTCTGATAATGATCTAAAATTTACAATAGCCAGACTAAAACGTTTGTGCTGGCTTTGCTGTTGATTAGTGAGGCACATCACTTGTCAAGGCTTTTTTTCTGTTATCACAGTCCATTTCTGACAAAAATATTCTATGCGTAAATGCATTAATCGACTACAAATGTAACAAAAGTTTTATTTTAACTACATGCTATATATAATACACACAAATTTGACCTGAATTTAGTCGTACGTACATTTATTTGAGGATGCGCTGCAGCTGTGAAACATAGAACTCGACGCTTTATAATGACAAATCTTCCACACGGTATAAAATTTGTGTACGATTATAAAGATAAATATTCTTATATGTCGGATAAGAATATGAAAAACAATGTCTATTGTAAGCACATGTTCAATTCAAATAATCTGAACTCAAGGATATAATTTCATATGTCGTAGAAATTTTGACCCAATATATTATATAATGCCACCGTGTCCAAGAAGCCACCATGTCCAATTCTACTTTATTATAACTTGTGAAAAACACTTTGTGGGTAAAATCTCAAAAAGAATGTTCGTCAGAAACTAAATTTAAAATCAAGCATGACATAAAAACATCTGCCCGAAAGGTTTTTGTGGTCAAAAATGACCACACTGTAATGCAATTAGTCAATCTCATTTGCTACATGTTGAAAAAATTAATTTTGCACTAATTTTCAGTGACAATACAATATAAAGATTGATATTTAGAGCCTGATTACATGAAGCATTTTCAACCCCGGGGTTGAACTCAGCCTTGTTAAGTGGGCTGAAATTTCAGCCCTGCCTGCTCCATGAATCCTAATCAAATACAATGCGCTATTACGTGACAGCTTTTCAACCCCGGTGCTGTACTCAACCCCGTCGTTAAAATTTCAGCCCTGCTTGAGCTACCCGGGCTGAAATGCTTCATGTAATCAGGCCTTAGATTAGTTCAACTCTTTTCCGCATAATTATAACAATGCCTAATTTACGATACAGTGGCACAGCTATTTTATAAAGTTAAATTTTTATCTTGAACTATAGAACTGTATCCCAATAAACCATTAGTTTAAGAGAATCATCTTATTACAACTATTGCTTATGCATACATAAAGTTGAAATAAAAGTCGTATAGGTAATCGATAAGTTGATTACAATAGAAATTTACGACTTTACTAAGCTCATCTGTTTTAATTAACAGAGCTTTCCAAAAAAGGAAAGTGCCCTTTGGTTTACGAATCTGATCACAACTGCAAGCGAAACTTCGATTACCAATGTTTATTGGATTTTGACTGCAATGATACCATGAAATGTTGCCGTACAGCATGTAAGCAGTACAAATGCATCGAACCAATCAGAAATAGAGGTAAGGGGGAAATAATTAAATTGACACAGGTTCAATTAGTGCATGGCGAACTTTTACATAGTCCAAAATTTTACTTCTGCTTTGCAAATTTTTCAGTTTGCACACTTAGCAAAAAAATCAGGACTTTTAAGATAATCTAGGCTAGCAATTCAATAATGAGGGGGTTAAAAACAAATTTCGATAGCGTAAGTCAACAGCTGGCCAAAGTTGCGTTTAGAACAAATGTTTTTGGGTTTATGATCTCCAGCATGGCGGAACTACGCAACAATTTTTTCCCGAACATTCTTTATCTTGCAGCTATTTGTCGTAATGAAAGCACGAATCTCAATTCTTGTGTGTAAACAAAATTTGTGCGCAATTACTGTATGTTGATTGTTAAGAGACTTTCAAGTTGAAATTTGAAATTATGTTAGTGGGCTAAATGTTAAAGTATAGATCAGCCTTTTTTCCCCTTTTTTTCTCTTAACTGCTACCACTAATAAGACGTGGGTATTTCTGCATTTGTACGGAGTAGTCAACATAAATTTCTCTATGCCATGACCAATCTGACTGATGGCGCCTTTTGACAATTATGCACTAAGCAAATAGTCAATCTAAGTGATAATAGAAATGTAATAAGAAATCTATTTTGCAAAATTACAATCTTGGTTTAAAGTTTGCAGCAAACTGACGAACATTGCGTTCGTCTTGGACGCATCAGGAAGTATTGGACGAAAATCTTTCGAAAAAAGCAAAGATGTGATTAAAAAATTGCTCCAAGTTTTTCCACACGAGGAAGGCAACAGACATGCAACAGTGGTTTACGGTGGCAAGCCTTGGATCGTGTTCAACAATATTAGGAAACGAAGCAAATATCAAAAAACCAGCGAACTAGTGGGTTTAGTGAATCGCATTCCTTACAACAATGCACCATTAACGCGAACTGATAAAGCTCTGAACACTATCCACCAAGAAATATTCCCAAAACACATAAAATTTCGCGATTACAGACCTAAGGTAATAAAGAAAATCTTACATGAAATTATTTTGCAGCCAGATTTTTCCATTAAGCCTTCCTTACATGGACTATTCAGCACATATTTTTGCCAAAAATTATTTTTCTTTTTTTAAGATGATTGTATTGTTGACTGATGGAAACCAGAGCACTCCACCTTATCACGATGGTTTAATGGAAGAAGGGAAAATTCTAGATGACCAAAATATCAAAGTTTTTGGAGTTCTGACAGGCGAACAAAAAAATCTCAACACTCTCCTTCACCTTTGTACCAACGATCAATTCTTGTTTCAGCCAGAATTTGTTGAAGAATTAGCTGAGGCCATGAAACACGAAACTGAATATTATTGTTAACAGCTAAATGGAAAGTGAAATCCTTTAAATTTGTTAAATAAATTTAATTTCTTTATTGCATCAGAGGTGGTAATGAGTCAATAATTTTACTAACACTTTCATCGATCAAATTTACAGCAAAAAAATAATAATTGGGGATAACAATATTCATACATTGACTCTAAATTGTGCTTTATGCTCTCCATCAACGTGCCTTGTTACCCCCAACTTTTAACATATGAATTCCTCACCAATATTATAGATGCTTCATCTCAGTCCATCAATTACACGGCATCGTCAACCCCTGTAATCAACCACCATCCTTTGTCGTCTTCAGTATCCAGGGGTGGCGTTAGAGAGGTGCAGGGGTTGGGGGCTACTTCCCCCTTGTCAGGGAAAAATTGACAACTTGTCGGGGAAGGAACGGTATACATGTAGAAGACGGCCAGATTTTCGTAAGATTTATCAAAAGTTGGTTACAATGATCCAGTGTTGATATTCAAAATTTACGAAGCAAAAATCTGCGATGAAAAACAAGGGTTCAATCATATCTTTTTCTCACACGCAACACAGTTAAGCTCTGAGATGATTCCTTCTCATCTTTCTGGTAAAAATGTGAAAATGAGGAGTTATACAAATTGGGCTGTGATGGTGATAGTTAACAGACGGTGAAAACAGATGACGATAGATGACAGCTAGTGACGGTGGATAACGATAAGTTATCGTGGATAACAGTAGACGAAGGTAGGTTACATGAATTTACAGTATATGACTTTAGATGAAAAAAGTGACGACAGGCAGTGGTGAAAGTAGGATTTTACTTCGGGAAGGCAAAACACCACCCAAATGCATTACGCACTATTTTATAAAACTTACATTTTCAAGTAAAACCCTTAGTGTTGAAATATTGGGGAGGGGCAGTCACCCCCCTCCCTTGCCGTTCGTCACCTCCCGCAAGAAGGGCCTCTTGCCGTTAAAACCTAAACCGCAAACTGCAACATGTACTGCAAAGCCAAGATCACGTGACTTTTTGCTGTTTGCCGTCACGCCATCATTGTGAACGCGCAACGTTATATGAGACGTGGCACGATTGTTTATCAATTTTGCTAAAATGATTTTTCCCCATATACCCATCTCACGTTGCACGCTCACAATGTCGCTCTCAATACTTTATCTATGTAAAAGTATTCATAGAGTTATTTATTCCATGGATTTATTTTTTTATCTACTTTTTATAAGAAAGCGCCAGTTTTTGGTACGCAAATCCAAGACACAGGCACACAGCGTTTTGCTTACATGACGAAGCCTGAGCAAAAATTTCATCAAGTTTCTTGTTAAAAAATTTCATCAACTTATTTCGTGCGATTTGAAATATTGACGCATTTGGCTCAATGTTTGCACTTCATATAAAATAATTACATGATCGCAAGCACAATAAAAGATTGCTCGCCAGTATAATTAGTTTATTACTGGCTATAATTAGCATAATTACCATATCACCATGCCATTACCATGACATTACCATATGAATATTTAAATTTTTATTTTGGCGAATTCCCAACTCTTTGTTATAACTTATGTGCCTAGCCTGAAATTTTGGTTGGTGTCAACTTCTCCTCATCACTTTTGAAAATTGATTAGTCTAAAGCAATGTGGCCTTGGTTAAAGGAAGAGCTATGTGTCAAAAGGTTTTCTCTACGACTTGAGGATCCACAGATTTTGACTACGTCACCTGTAAGTTTAATGATATTACTGTATTTGAGTAATAACGAAATGACGAAAACAACGTTAAAAATTTTGTGCTTTATGTTGAAAAAACACAAAGAGAGATTTTAGCCAAAATTATATAATCACATATGACTATATGACTAACTACTGTAGCTTGAAAGTGTTTAATATCTCATCCAGGTTCTCCCTACTTTTGGTTTGTTGATTCTACGGTTAGTCATCACAGTAATCTGCATTGCCACATTAATTTGGAGTGGAGTTGATGCTGGGAATGACAAATGGTTTATTTACCTGACAAATTGGTCTTTTACCTTATTGACTATGGCATTTATATCTCTAACTTTACTCTCAATTTATGGCACATACATGACTAATAAAAATAAACAGAATTTGGTACAATATGGAACATTTGAGACATCAGTTGAGGCAGCTCGTAGGCAAGAAGAAAATTTCCAACCTTCCCTTAATAACAGGGGAAATGCTGTACAGATATGTAAATGGTATCATAAACTTGCTTGGCTTATTTGCAACATTGCATTCTGTGTTGCTTTCATTGTTAGTTCGGCATATTGGCTATTTCAAGCATCCAATGTTGATTTTATTGATGTGATTACACATGGTTTTAATTCTGTCTTTGTTATCATTGAGCTCTTACTTGGTGGGGTGCCAATACGATTGATCCATTGTATTTTCTGTAATGTTTATTGTGCTGTGTATGTACTATTCAGTGTCATTTACTGGCAAGCAGATGGATTAAATGCCAGGGGAAAACCTTACATTTATAAAATTTTGGATTATGAAAACCAAAATGCAGGAGTAACCACTGTTCTTATTTTATCTTTGGCAGTGATAGCCCCTCCATTGTCACAATTATTTATGCTTGGCATGTACAAGTTGCGTTGTCATTGGTATCGTAGACGCACTAATCCGAGCTCAGAACATGTTATTTCTTTGTAATTGTATCTTAAATTTATTTTTTGGATTTAATATGCTTGATACTGCTATTTTCTGTGTATCACTTGCAAAATAAGGAAAAATAACCATGATGATTTTTGCTTAACTTATACTAAATGCGTAAGTATCCATTTTAACCGTTAAAATAAATATTGCTTAATGTAAGAGATTTTAAGGTGATTAAAAAATATACCATATTATTTGTTTCAGTTTGCTTATGTATGAATTTGTGCACATTTCGTTTGGCTACAATTATCTCAAATGTTAAATTGAATCCATAAAGATCAACATGGAAAAGCCACCCTTAGCCTTCACTTTGGAAGTGTAATGTTTGAAACAGAATACACCCCAAGATGATGTTTTTTGAATACTGCTTATAAGATTAACAAGGGAGGGCCATGTATACTAAAAAGTTAGTAGAACATCAAATTTTTTTTATAGTTATAAGAAGTTATGGCCAACTCATAATTAAGAGAAAAAGTAAATGTTAGATTTGCATGCTTACGCTCCTTTCCAGTGATGACGATTTCTAGGCATGGAGGATTGGAAATTGTTTTCATCAACTAACCATGGAGTGACTCATACAGTTTTCTACTTCACCTTGGGAGTATGGAACCATGATCCACCATGTAGTGAGATGAATTATTTTGATCTAAACACAAATTCTTTCATGAAGCATTGCATGAACTTATTGAATAAAAAGCAAGGAAAGTAAAGGGAAACGTTGATAAATTTTTGATGTTCACCACGAGTGTTTAGGCTTATCTAAAAATGGCATTATGGCAATCATCAATGAAAGTTGTAAATTAATATGACTCAATATCTTTGAGAAAGATGCACTAACAACATTGGTACCTTCTGAGAACATTTATCCACTTGCTTTACTTTTCCCACAGAATTTTGCTTTTGCCACGAGTGTCTTCTTTCATATCTGATGTGTAGTATTGCAGCGATTATCTTAAGAAAAATTTACAACTACCCACGCACTAAATCCGACGACATCTTAGGGAGAAGACAGATTGCTGTTTTATGGGAAGTAGATCGGATCATAGGATGATTTATCAAATTTAGGTCTCTAGCATTTCCAACCATTCGGAGAACACACTTTAATAATTGTACAGAATTGAACCGGGTTATTAAAATTGATTTAAAGTGGTCAAAGCTCAAATATATTTTTGTTTTGCTAAATTTTGTAGTTAAGGTAAAGGTGTAAATTAGGTGTTCAATGCGATTGTTATATCTATCGAAAACTGGATTAATTCGAAAATTTAAATTATAATTAAACTAGCCAACAATTTCAACACTAAATCCAAGCAAAGAATTGAGAGCAGAATACCAGCAAAGGTTTGGTCTTGGATCACAATGAGCAAAGAATACTCATGATTGCTTAGTTTGATTGTAAAGTATTAATTCAAACGCTTGTTGCAAAGTTTATGTATAATCCTATCAAACCTCTAATATTTTTTAATAAAACGAATAAAAAGAAAGAACCGAATTAGGTCGAGTACATTCGAGGTTCTGTTAAAATTACGAGGGTTTGAGTAAACCTGAAAGTGGCAAAGCTATGTGTGTTGGTTAAGATATGTAATGAGGAAAGAAGAGATATCGAAGATGACAGTGTCAGGACAGAGTAGAAAGGAATGAAATGTAAAAGATGAATAGAGGTGAGGTGAGATGAAATGAGAAACTTTGTGATGATAAAAATAAGATGTGATGGAAAGATTATTTAAGAAATAAAAGATATTTACTGTGTTTGCACAGGCTTATGCAAACCGAGGAGACCTTTGGGAGAACTCGAGAGCAGATCAGTGCATTCCCGAGACCGAAGGTCGAGGGTTGCACCTGCTCGAGAGTTCTCACAATCCAGTGCAAACACGAAAAACATCTTTTATTTCTTTTATAATATAACAATAATGCGAAACAGACAACGATTTGCAAATTCTCTTTGACTGATTGATTGTTATGATTGATTTGATTGGTTGAGCTCAGATGTGTTTTGCACAGGCTAATGCAAACACAGCTCTAGACCAATTAGCGCACGCGTTTCGTTGTGTTTATTTTATAAAATGGAATAAAAAACGCGCTGTGGCCACCCCAAATATGTGGGCAAGCAAAATGTAAAGAAGATGATGGCGAAGAAGAAGTAGAAGAAAAGGACGAAGAAAAAGAAGAAGAAAAACAATAATAAGGAAAAATAAAGTGAATAAAATAAAACACAACAAACAATAAAGTACTAACTGATATACAATGAAAACAACCACAAAACAAATAGATGATCTAATCTTATTAACTAAAACATTTTTAAAAAAAGATGTTGAAACGTCGAAATGCCCTTGAAGAATACATCGCTCTCACCAGTTTTAAAAACAGCTTTCCTCGTCTTCTACGGAATAATCTTCCAAATTTATAACGTTTAAACAAGCCTCAGGTCGTCTAAGGACCAAATTTCTGTCAAAATCTTCATCAACTTCAGCAAAGACGCAGTCTGTGTCACTTTCCGCAAGTGAATCCCTTTCTTCCGTGAAAGATCTTTTCTCCTAAATACATCATCAACGAAGGAAAATTTTTGGTAAAAATCAGATAGCACTGATCGCAATATTTACTTAAACGTTTCACATCATAAAAAATATACCTCTTCAACAGAACACACTGTAGTTAGACTTTCTTCTTCAGCCCATGCATTCAGTAACACGCGAGGTTTATTAATAGAGGTCACCGTTTCATTGATTGGCTTAGGAAACTCGTGTAAGAACAGAGTAAATGGAAGGCGTCTACTTGATAAATTAGGTGATTCTATTTCAGAAATTGTAATCTTTGAATCACAAAGTGAAGCTATCGAATAAAGATTATCATCCACTTCGCACAAACTCTCTGATGAATGCTCAAAGTCTCCTTTCTCTTTCGTTTGTTTCTGATCATCATCACTTGGAGCACTCAATTGCTAAAATGTAGTTGATATCACATCATAAGAAGGCAAAAACACAAAATAGTGCTATAAATTCTTATGTTTTGATATTACACGCTTTATATACACAAATACTGCCGTACGTTTATTTAATTAATTTAATAAACTTTGGTCAGAAGTTATGCACAAAGGGCTACGAGGCACCAACAGACTTTGACCATGGCCCTGTTTACGGTTGCTAAATTTAAAATATTTATTAAATATTATGGACTTAAGAAACATTGATTAAACATGAAATTTAATTTTAACTGTTCAAATCTTAAACTTAACGAGTTTCAAATGCTCTTTAATTGTAGATATTTTCAAAGAAATAAAATCACTTCTGGATCATAATATCGCTTAAATTGACCTTGGCAAAAAACTAAAAACGTTTTGTCTTTTGTGTCTGCTTTCAAACAGAGTGTTAAAAATTAAGGATAAGAAACGAAATAGTGGCAATGATCTATGAGAAGTTGAAGTGAAGACATTTAGTGTAGCAAATTAAAAGTGGAAGACTTTCTTAATAACGAGTTTATTAAAAAGACAGACTAGTCTTGGTTGATATTTATTGAATTCAAAATCTCAGAAGTATAAAAGCACAGGTAATGATATGCTAATTAGAGTTGGCTGCTGTTGGAATTATAATGCTACATGTTTCTCATACACATATTAGGTACACCAAGCACAGGGGATAAGCAATATTGCAGTTCCTTTCTTCAAGTCATTAACCTATTTCCAATATTACCCTACCCTTGCCAAATATACGTAAAAGTTTTAAAAGTTTCATTGTTATGATTTAAGCGTTTACACTGTACAGTTACCAGTTAATAGTTCGGAGACTCATAGCTAGTGGTAAATTTTTTTATTCTTACTGAGCTGGATGACACTGTAAGTACTTAATAAGCTAAGTTTCATCTTTGTTTTGTCAATTTTATTCTGCGTGAACTGTTTTGTTTTCAGCTCTCTGCAATTTATTCTATGACCCGAAAGGTGCTTGATTTAGACGCTTACTTTATCTCATATCATCTCCTTACCAGCCCACATCCTAAAATTTTTTGCACCACACTTGTAAAAAATATGAAAAGTTTGGGGAAATGTTATTTGGACTTTATATTTAGTTCATGTAGTAATATGAAATGTACAGCATACTCTTTACAATAATAGTACTTGAAAGAATTTTAGAATGTAAACCTGGGCTGTATTGTTGTATGTGATTTTACGTAACTGTACTGATGTAATGCACAAATCAAGATTTATCCTTTAAAACTTAACAAGTTCGTTTTATAATGAAACATTAAAACTCTTTAAGTTTTTAAACGGCATAACGTTTGCCGGTTATTTTTGGATTAAATCCGGCATGCAATTTTTCAGATTTTTCAATCACCAAATTACCAATTTTAGCAGCAATTGCAATAGGGTTTTTGAAGCTATAATAAAAAAGTTAGTAAACAATTTTATGCGTCTGAGCTAAAAGAATTCTTTAACGTGTGGCAGGGTTGGGGGGCCTCATGCTGAAAATCTGCAACGGGCCTCGCGCATTGTTATTCCGGCCCTGCCTTTCATATGAAAGAATCAAATGTGTACAATGTTTTATAAGATGTATACAACGATGTACAATATGTATAAAACATTTTTTCATGATCAAATTACACAATCATGATGAGGGAGGGCCCGAGCAGACATTTTGTATAATAATACATCTCATCAGAGTTTTTCATGGCATTTTCAAATCTTAACAATGTTACAGCTTTACCACTTATACACTCACATTTTGCTGAAAATGTTCACTCCCGCAGAAACTGTCATAAGAGCTAACATCTTCATCTTCAACAATCTTGGGCGGAAGGCTTGCTTCATTCATAATCTGCGCCAATCGAAAGTCAAGTTCACTTAGTTGCTCATCCAGTTCTTTAAATATGTAACTCTAAAAAAAACAGTGTGTAATAAAAACATGACAAAATTTCAATAATAAAGAGGGATACATTTGTACTTGAAGTAATTTTCTTAACTGCAGTGGCAGATATAGGGTGCGTAAAAATAAATTACTGCAGCTTATCTTTGGATACATTTCCATTTCCAAATAATGTCGAACTTTACATGCAACGAACGCATTAAAAAGATGAACTTCCTCATTATTATCGACGTTTTAGTTTTAGTGTACAGAGATGGATGGAAATATTCTAATATAGCAGCGGCTCTAGTGTACAGAGATGGATGGAAATATTCTAATATAGCAGGTAGCTTTAGTGTACAGAGATGGATGGAAATATTCTAATATAGCAGGTAGCTCTAGTGTAAAGAGATGGATGGAAATATTCTAATATAGCAGCGGCTTTAGTGTACAAAGATGGATGGAAATATTCTAATATTGCAGGTAGCTTTAGTGTACAGAGATAGATGGAAATATTATATTATTGCAGGTAGCTCAAGTGTACAGAGATGGATGGAAATATTCTAAAAGTGAAATAGCTCTAGCAAGCAGAGATGTATGGAAGTATTCTGACAGTGCAAGTAGCTTTAGCAAGAAGAGATGGATGGAAACGTTCTAACAAAGAAGGTTCAGTGTATGTAAATAGTTGGAAATATTCCAATGTGGGAAGTTGCCTATACGTACCATAGGAACACGTTTTGAAGCAATCTCCTCTTCTCCGTTTTTTTCACGAGAAAAAAGAGAAAAAAACCTATAAAAGTTAAATTATGTATGATAAATGTTTTCATAAGGAAACATGCAGCTATTATTAAAACCTGAAATGGAAAACTCGTTCATAAACTCTTCTAAAACATACATTTCAATTTTCTTCCGTAGATACTGCTTGATAGGCATTTTCTTAAATACAGGAGGGCGACATGTTATACTTTTCACGTGAAATTGACAAAAAATTGCCTTTATCTAAAACGATATGAAGACATAGACGCTCAAGACGGGAAGTTGTGCATGCATATGGAATTACGCAGAAATAAAAAATGTTAAAGGCATTATATAGTTTTCATTTGAAGACTAAATGTTAAAAGTCTACAACAAAAATGTCAGTACAAACTCACCAGACTATTGATTGTTAACATAACAAAGCAAAATGCAATAACGTAGAGAACAAAATAAATTTCATCAGAGGAAAAATTATTCTGTATTAAATTGTTTGAACCAGCAGATCGAAATGTTGCAGCTAGCATTAATAACGCATTCGCTAATGAAGTGAAATTCTTTAAATCAAAAAAGGCATAAAACACAGCCACGTGTGCAAATCCGATTAAAACCACAAAGATGCCAAACTATAAAAAAGACAAAAGCACAATTCAAATAAAAATATCATAATACCTACTGCAAAAAGTTTCAGAAAAATAAAACATTTCTTTGACTAAACTATCCCGAATGTGTTAATGAGCACATGCGCAGCTTTATGGATTTAGAACAAAATTGGGTTTTTAACACTCGGTTTGTAAAGCTGTTTGCATGCTTGCGAAACATGTAAGAGACATTTTCAATCTCATTTTTTTTTTAAATAGAAGATGAATGTCTGCATGACGTATGAGAAAGTCATATTAACCTTGGAACATTAAAATAGCTGCAAATAATAATATAATTTTCACAGGATATGCTCAACATGCAGATGAAGTATAATTTTCATTAAATCTTACAAGGAAGAAGTGTTGTAAACATGATTTGTCACAAAATAATGAAAACATTAAAAACAAAGATACTGCAAAAAATAAATTATAAAAAATCATTGAAGACAAACCATAGGAAACTGTAATGCTGACGTTAAGTATTGAACTGTTTGAACATAACGTTGACAATAGGTATTTATAGCAATGACGTGAGATAGTTTCAATACCACGAAGAACAACATGAAACCAAGTGAAAACTTGAAAATTTCCTAGAATGCAAAATTTCATACAAACTAAAAAGGTATACAGAGATTTTCTAAATGAAAAGATCTTTTAAGGAGGCTCCCTAAAGTTACTAGGCAGGGGACTGGTGACAATTGGCATGCGCATATTGTGCTCATGTCGAGCGGATTTTTTTTCATAAACGCCTGCCGCGCTGATTTCATTGAAGATTTATTCATTTTTCCTTCGGTAAATTTTGTTAAACGTTCGGGTGGATGTTCATTACAACAAAAATTATAACATACTCAAAAAATTATTTATAGAATTCCTCCAATGACATAATGCCTCTTGAATGAACATCAATTGTCACGCAAAAAATCAGAAAAATTCACAGAACCGAAAACAAGTTATGGTCAATTCCTTAAAAACTAGACGATAAAAGTGTAAAAGAAAATGAGACATGGTTGCCATAACAACGCAAGCAGCAATCGTTATGAAGCATCTTTAGACTTTACTGACATTCTTGAATACTTCCACATAGTTCATATTTTTAAAGTTTTAGTGTGTTTGATCAAAATAATGTTGTAAGTGAAGGCAACCTGAAACACCCGAATCTCGGGTGAACTGTAGGGAGCCTCAGTTAACCCGAGATTCGGGTGTTTCAGGTAGCCTCCTTAAACAGGCTGATAGGAAAAAAACACGTACGTATTATGCCAATGTAAAACTACATGAGAAAAAAAGTTGCGGTAAATGAAACTATACCTGATATTTGTGAATGATTTTTATATTGTCCTTCACGTCAGCTTCATATTGATATCTCACAAGGATACTCCACAAATCATATTGATGATTTATCCAGATCCACATCAAAATGACACAGCAAGGCAATGCAATCATTATCAGCGACTAAAAAACCCCGTAAATCTTTCTGCTCATTGCATCAATTAGAAGCACGGAGAATATAGCCTTTTTAACAAACGCGAATACGAAAAAAACAAACATATACGTGATGTGTCTTAAAAACAGGGCAAATTTTTGCTCACGCTGAGCTAATTTTCGCGCAGAATTATTATTTATTTACTTCGAAAATTCAATTGATGTTTTCCAGTAAATGAACACAAAAATGTATGAACAGTGGGAATAAAATTTCAGGCTGGCTTCGCCATGCAGTGAATTTTTAATGTTAATTTTACGCACACATTCCTTATGTACTTACCTCGAGATGATATACGACATCTTTTCTTTTATTTACGTTCATAGTTTTATAGTACAAGGAATGAATGAACAGCAAAAGTGGAGCTAAGGTAAACAAAAGCTAAAGAAAAAATAAAACATTCAACAAAATAGATACAATCCGTGTCATCCAAAATAATAAGTAAATAAGAGCAGGAGGTTTAATTGTTATTTCATATATATTGATTGATTGATTGATTGATTAAACTTTATTAAAAAGAGGGTAACACGTGACACAACAAGTGTGAAAAACTTGTGGCCCTCATATCTACTAAATTGTAAAAAAGCTCTTTTTTCTTTTAGAACTTATCTATCGTGCAGGAAAACGTTTGTGAAAACATAACAAGTTGAAAAGTTTTATGATTAAATAAAAAAAATATCAATGTCATTCTCTATTGTAACAATAATATAATGATGAAAGTAATACTCTAATGTAATTAATACAATAAAGTAACGAACCTGGACCAGTGTCCGCCAACAGTAATATTTTGTTATGTGTGTTTGAAAATTAATCGTTGTGATACTGACAGGTGAACGACTTGACAACTTCACTAAGCTAAAAATAGCCAATAAAGAATACAACTTTAGTCAAAATTCATCACGTACGCACGCGGAGATCTTAAAATCTTAAATTGCATAAAAATATGTACCATGTTTTTTAAAGTAACTCAAATAATATTTCATAATCACACCTGAATAAATGAGATGATCTTGAAAACACAACGAACTGCAACGACATATCCTTTGGGCATTCACTCTTACAGGAATTTGAATAACTGCTTACAAACAAGGAATTCAAACGAAACCAACTATTTTTCTGGGAGCGTTCAACAGCAATGTTTTCCTCTCTTTCTGAGCAACTAACAACAAAAGGAACTTTTATAGAAAAATGCTTGATCTTATTTATTTATATTCAGGTTGAATCGAATGCGCATTTCATATTTGCTATATTGAGAAAAAGCCTTTTTAAAGATAGAATACTTTGTCACAATATATAAAGCTTCAAGATTAAGGACGTGGGACACAATTTTTTGCCCATATAATAATGCAACAACACAACATAAATTTCGAAAAAAAGTAAAATGGATAGAATTATTAAATGTATTTAGGGACAACAACTTACGACATTGTAGATCGTTTTTCTGGATTAGCACGAATTTTTTGAGGTAATTCACTCTAAATAAGATTTACGAAATGCATTATTTTTCATTAATATTTTCCATCCGTGAGAAAGAATTCGATTTTAAGCTCGGCATGTAAGAAAAAATCGACATTCAACAAAATGAAACCAGCAAAATCAAAATGAAAAATAAATAAATATTTTTAAATGAAAACGACTCGACTCACCAAGCACGTCCAAAATTTAAAACTCAAAAGAGGTTTTCCAACAACAATATAAGAATTTGATGAAAATGCTCGTATAATGAGAGTTTCTTCGTCAAATGTTAGAGTCTTCAGAAAGTTCTGTGGAGTGTTTGACCACCAATGTGGTAATGAAGACACTTTTGTTTCGCTAAAATGTTTACATAAAAATTATAAAAATGACATTTTCCTCGTGTGAAACAAAACACACACAAGTCTAGCCACTCGGGGGAAGCACATCAGCTTTTATGAATGTTGCAAGCACATTAGCTTTTATGAATGAGCCCTCCCCCCCCCCCGGCTTTTTAGAAATAGCTATGTATGAAAACTCGGTGCAAAGCCTAAGTGAGGACGACAAAAGTCAATTCGGCTCAAATTGTTGGAAAATTTCTGTCAAGTAGAGACAGTCAAGTAACGTCAGTCACAAAACGTACCCCCCCCGTTTTTTTGAGGGATGCAGCCTTGATCATAATAATCTGCCCTTATTTGTATAAGAAATTAAGTATTTACTTGTGAAAAGTATATATTTACACGTGAAAAGTATATATTTACGCATACATGAAATACAAGTACGTATTATACAATCGTACCTGCTGAAAAATGTTTTTAATCCATGATCACGTATGAGCAAATTTTGTTGATTCCAAAATGGATTGACAACGATCAAAAAAAGCGCCACAATAAAATACAGAACAGTATCTCTAGGATTAAATCAATTAGTTCTGTTGTAACGCATATGATAGTGAAGATATCACACTACATTAACTGCTGTCTGTTGTTATGCTCTGTAAAGCAACATATATCATAGCATTTCCACAAGTACATAATACTTACCTCAAAAAACTTTCCGTCGTTTTTTCTCTAAACTTTCTCGCTCGCTCTTTCTTTACAACTTTGTCAGAAAGAGGTTGGAGGTACTTGAGACAAAGCAACTTACGATATATTGGCTGTAATAACATAAACAACGAGCATGTAAGAGAAACAAACAGCAACTATATGCACAAACATTCAATTCTTATCGGTAATCTCATAAAAAAAATCATTTCTGTGTCAACATTTTTGTTTGAAAAGTCCTGACGTAGCCAGGCCGCAAGTTTCGTCATGTTATGTAAATATTTCTGTTTTCAGCAATTGTAAAAACAGTACAATTCAAAAAAAACAAATGATGTATGCATGAGAAAGACAAAACCTGCAACTGGCTATACGCCATGAACAAAATCCATATATAAGTCAAAGTACGTGCACTAATTTCTTACTTGTATAGCAACTGGCTATACGCCATGAACAAAATCCATATATAAGTCAAAGTACGTGCACTAATTTCTTACTTGTATAGCAACTGGCTATACGCCATGAACAAAATCCATATATAAGTCAAAGTACGTGCACTAATTTCTTACTTGTATAGCAACTGGCTATACGCCATGAACAAAATCCATATATAAGTCAAAGTACGTGCACTAATTTCTTACCTGTATAGCAACTGGCTATACGCCATGAACAAAATCCATATATAAGTCAAAGTACGTGCGCTAATTTCTTACTTGTATAGCAACTGGCTATACGCCATGAACAAAATCCATATATAAGTCAAAGTACGTGCACTAATTTCTTACTTGTATAGCAACTGGCTATACGCCATGAACAAAATCCATATATAAGTCAAAGTACGTGCACTAATTTCTTACTTGTATAGCAACTGGCTATACGCCATGAACAAAATCCATATATAAGTCAAAGTACGTGCACTAATTTCTTACTTGTATAGCAACTGGCTATACGCCATGAACAAAATCCATATATAAGTCAAAGTACGTGCACTAATTTCTTACTTGTATAGCAACTGGCTATACGCCATGAACAAAATCCATATATAAGTCAAAGTACGTGCACTAATTTCTTACCTGTATATCAATTTAAACTAGTTAACTTTAATTCATTTCACTTACATCCGCAACATTCCTTTCGGTAAATGAAGGAAACGATGAATCATCAAGAAAGACATCATCTTCCAATTCATAATATGAGTAAATCATTGAAGGTAAATGCTTGTGTATCATTTGAATGACAGTAACGACAAACGCCTAATACATAATTTTAGATAAAGGATTTTAGTTGGCTATTTAGAAGTCACATACGTCGTACAATGTGGACTCATAAATTGAAAATTGAACAATAAAAACATTCGGTGCGGACAATGTGCTTGTCCAAGTGACTGTTGTCATCCTGGTCGTCACTCCATAATTTTTTGCCGTTTGTGTCTTCATTGCTCAAAAAATCATTGTTGAACATTGCAAATAAGTGGGAAATACTAACTGTGCACGAAAAAAATGTAAATTCAAACTAAATCAATATCTCAATATTTTCATACTAATATCACTAAAAGAAAATACAACTTTCCTAATTCCTTCAAAATGATCTACGGCCATCAAATGTCATTGCAAATAACAGACAACATCCAGTTCTTAGCTATGGCCTTCAGGCATGTTAAATCTAAATATCTGGCAACTTATTTCAATGGAGTAGCTCCTTGCATACCTGACATGGTTGAGATATAAAAATTGAGAAACAAAATGACCAAAACAAGGAATAAAAGTAGCTTCCAAGCAAAATTTCGTCGAATCTGCAAAAGAAAATAATGAGTCCAGTTCAATAAGATGAAAAAATCCTGAATCCCCAAAATAATTAAAATATACTGTGTTTGCAGAAACCACTAATATATGTAACAGCCTGAAAAGGTCCAATCTTCGCTGGTTTTAGATTTTATATTCCAAAGGAATTAAAACAAAGCATATTATTTTCTTTACTACCAACAATTCATCCAGCGCTCATTTACCTCATACATTAATACTCAACACTGTTTTCCTATATTGCCTACGGCTGAATGTTACATACGTTTTAAAAAATTTAAATTTCATTCTTTTATGCACAATTCTTCAAAAGCTGCGATTGAATTCACAAAATTCTTCTAACATCATGAAAGTCATCAGTAAAGAGATTACTAAATTATATATATATATACACACACAGTCGAGCCTCCAGTAAGCAGAAACTCTTGGAACCACAGGCACCAGCGCGGTGTGTACTTACGCGACGTGTTCGCTTATGAGAGTTTCAGAAGTAATAACGTATTGAAAAGAACCTTAAAGCAGTGACCACTTACTACAGCTGTCCTTGTACAATGGTAAACAAATTTAATTATTTTTTAATTTATATCAAATGTATAGAAAAATTTGGTTGTTATAATATTGAGCTTCCTAAGCGTATACTTCGCGCTTTCTTCTGCTTCAGGCAATGTAACTATTAAGACAATAAATAGCTTCAAATGTTTGTCAGTTGCTAGATTTTTGTGAAATCGTACAGATATGAACAGTATTCTGTGTGGTTTGCAAAATGTAGAAATTATATATATTGGGAAAAGCACAATTTAAGTCAAAATGCTCTAAAACAATATGCAAGGATATGTCTGCTTACAAAACATGCATAAAAACGAAAGACAATCATACCTTGTGACAATCTTGATTGTGTGCAATGCAAATATACTCATTATTAGTAAACAGCCAACCCAAGAAAACACGTCAAAACACAGCGGCAAACGAGAACAAGACAGGCTGCATGGCAAACTTGTACTTGGATGAATTTTCTTTTCTTTTTTTGCACATGTTTCATCTGTTGTGTATGATGTTGTGCTAGCAGTGGAACTTGTTACAGACGCTGAGGAAATGACAAAATGTGTTTGATGAAGATTTAGGAGAAAAGCCAGGTAAAAATTTAAGCCTAACATGCAATTTTATAGGATAATCAATGTACGTTTTTTCTCTTATGTACGTAGGTAAGTTTCACTATTTATACAATTGCAAAAAAAGTTTTTAACGGTCGATGATACGAGGGCTCAAAAGGACGCTATGTGTGCAAGGTAAGCGTGTTATTGTAGCCTTTTTTTGAAGAGCGTCCTCACGTGGAAGACAATGTAAATGTAGAAATGAAAATATATAAATACATGCACGTATAGAGGGTCTTACTTCATTATCAATAGCAATTTTAGTTGTGTTATAAATAACATTTTTTGCACGTTAAAGTTAGTGAATGAAGTTGGTTGAAATTCATTGCATAATCTGAAAAGCAATTGGATATTTCTAATTTGACGAGGGAAATAAAATAAAAAATATGACCTTGGCTGAAAAAACATTCTTCTGCTTTTGAACAAACAAACAAAGTAAAATAGTAATTACTCAACATATACAAAAAACTTACATCGCTGTGATGCATCCAAACAACTTGACGTATATTTAGACTTTCTAGAAACCTAAAAAAAGTTTAAAAGATGAAGTTTAAGGGCGCAAGAATATTGGGTAACAATTTACTGTCGGTTCCTGTATGTAATGCAAAAATATACCTGCATTTGAAGAAATGATTTCGTGTGTCGGAATATAATGGCAAAAAAAGCAGAAATTGGAAATGATGCAAGACTTCCAAAGGAACCAATTTTAAGCTGCTGTACTATAGCACTTTCAAACATTGAAAAACAAGTCCTCGTCATCTGAAAGCAAAACATCTAATTGTAACTATAGCTACAGGGAAGACTCGGCTTGTTATTATGTAGGTTAGCGACCATTCCCGTACATTGATTGAACAAAGCTACATAGTAGCACAAAAAAGTTTTCAATGCAGTTAAATAAATTGTACTCACAAAATACTTTTCGTAGAGATATGCATTGAAATAAAGAAAACAGCAAATCGATGTTATGCAACAGGTTAGACGCTGGAAAAAAGTGTTAACTGTTTAGTTAATGGAAAATGGGACAACTTATTTAATGAAACAATATCTGTCGTATGGCTTCAATTAAAACAATATCATCAATTCAAAACTTTAGTCTAACCTCAGCGCTCGTAAACAAACTATATAATGGCATTGTAAACAGAGACAGCCAAAGGTGAAAATCCATTAAGTTTGCCTCAAAAGTTAGTTTGAATCCCTGGTAAAAAATTACAACAGCAAATGAGTGAACTTTCCATCTTTAATTTAGGACAATAAAAATTTTTTTACATAGACACTTATGCGACATATTATGAATGATTTTTAAAATATATCTTTAGCTCAAATATGTGTTTGTGAATAAAAGTACATTTATGGAAACGGTGTATATGTTACATAAACGACGTAGCAATGATTGCAAGAACTATTTCTCCATAACATTCAACATTATTTATAAATCAAATCATGCCTATAAAACTTTCACACACCTTTAATTCCACGTCTATGTTTGAATCGCATGGTTTTACTCTGCAGTCAATCTAAAAAAAAAGGAATTTTTTCATAATTCTTTAATTATACCATAAAGAACAGTCATTCATTCATAATTCTTTAATTATACCATAAAGAACAGTCGTTCATTCATAATTCTTTAATTATACCATAAAGAACAGTCGTTCATTCATAATTCTTTAATTATACCATAAAGAACAGTCGTTCATTCATAATTCTTTAATTATACCATAAAGAACAGTCGTTCATTCATAATTCTTTAATTATACCATAAAGAACAGTCGTTCATTCATAATTCTTTAATTATACCATAAAGAACAGTCGTTCATTCATAATTCTTTAATTATACCATAAAGAACAGTCGTTCATTCATAATTCTTTAATTATACCATAAAGAACAGTCGTTCATTCATTTACACGTGAATTAAGTGGATTTTTATCAATATGAAAATCTTTGTCCTGCTACTTTCTCGTTATTTGACAGCGACATAAATGAGACATTGTGCGCCGAGAAACGATTTTTTCAAAAGATTTTTTCAAGATTAAAATATTTCATGCTATATTATCAAGTAGCAACCTACCACTCCATCACCTTTATCCACAGCTAACCATCGGGAACAATCAAACATCCTTTATGGTATAAGAACAGACGTAATTTAATTCATTTCAAATTTTGTGTGGTTACAGCAGTGGGTTAGAAAGAAATTAAATCTTCGTTTAGAATTCTCATTTATAATTATATGTGATGAAAAAACATATCAGTTTGAAAGGTATGATAATTCCAGCAAAGCATCAACTGTACATTCGGCACTATGCTAAATTGACTTTAGGAAAATTTCTGAGGATAAAGAAGCAAAGCTACAGATTCTTTTTACAAAGCAGGAAAGGTGAGATTTTTGAACTTCGGAAAATATTATCCTACTTTATGAGTGATTTTTAAAAATCTTACTGCATGGAATTGGTAGGGATCACAGTTAAAAATCAAAAAATTAAGACAGCGCTGATACTTAATAGGCAATTCGAAAGTGGTTGTCATTGAAACATTAAACCTCTTGCGATTAGTTTAAATTTATTGCTGTAAATTTATTCCTTTGTTTATAATCGTGCAGCACTCTCCTAAGCTAATTAATATCAATGAAAGGCAGTACAAGTGGCGATTTTCCACAAATGTTTTATGAAAACACATTCTTACCAAGTTTCCTTTGTTTTTAAGTCTTTAATGGCGAGCGTATTGACGAACCAAGATGGAGAGCTACCACTATTATCATGCCACACGTGAATATAATCTAACGTTCCCAAATTCTCTCTCACGCTAAACGATGTAGAGATAACAGACTGATAAATTATTCATGTAAAGGATGATAAACAAAACAAAGTTTTAAAAACACGCATTGAAATAAATAACATTGAACGAGAGATGTCAAACATGCAGATGTGTGGTATAAAGAAGTACTAACTGGACACGATTCCATCTAAGAGACCGAAACAGACATTCCTGAGTCAATCTGACTAAATTTATTTAAGTAATGTTTGTTAACTGCATTTCCGACATAGTAAAGTATCAAGTTAGCCAGGATTTGTTGCAAAATTCAAAAGTAAAACAAATTTATGGAAAACCTTCGTAAACTAATAAAACAACTAAGACTCTTACAACTAATAAAGCAATTAAGTTTATAACTCATCATTTCAACAAAAGACGGAAATTTAAATTAACTTGATACATCTTCTTTATGTACAATACCTGACAATAAACACATCTTTTGAATTTCGTCGAAAAATATCCCGATTTTTGAGATATAACTCAACTGGATAAGATGAATTATTTCTTCCGTGCAATACAAGGGCAACCTAAATATTTAAACATGGATCGTTTCTTCCATACATTTGAAGGGAAACATAAACATTTAAGTATGTAATAATGTTGACAGTCAGTGAATGTGGAACCAAAGTTTGCATGCATATTAACATCCAATGCATTGAGCGTTAAAAATATCCACTATACCTTAGCAGTTGTTCCAGCTCCAAAACAGTGACCTGTATAAACTGTTATTTCATACCTTTAAGAAATAAATAACGTTTTAACATTATTAAAGAATCAAACATCGAGAAAGAAAGCAGTATAAAAATACAAATTTGAATGTCAGAGATGTAGGCTATAAGCCATCAACTGTCAACAGTATTGAAGTATACTCTAAATGATCTAGTAAACGCCCGAGGCGTTTAATAATTTCTAGCTGTTCTAAGGGGGTGGGGGTTTAATAGACGAGAGGCTAACGAGTGACATTTCTAATTTCAACTAATGAAAAAAAACTAAGACCACATTTATGGTTTCTTACCCCAATCATAAACCAACCATAATAATGATATTATTATGACAGTAATAGGTGGGGGGCGTCTATTAGAGACTGGATTTTAATAAGGCATCTAATACAAACTTGTGTTCTAAGGGGAATGGACGCTTACTTGGATTATTTACGGTAGTTAAGTTGTACTATAAATATTTTACAAATAATATATAAAGATTGTATCACAGTATGGCCGGGACAATAACCCCAATAGTTTCTGTTAGTTACAGAATTTTTTTGAAAAATTTCTTCAATTTCGTAGCTGGAAATGAATCTTTGTAGAAGATTTAAAATACTTAACCGAAAGTATGCGGTCTCTTGAAAACGCTCCTATTGTCTAATTTGATGAAACAAAAAAGTTTTTTCAGTGAGTTATGACCTTTATAAATTTCAGTCAATGTTCGTTTAGTCAAGTCTAAAATTATTGACAACATGAAGTACCTCTCATATTCGGAAGGAAATAAAAAATAAAATCGATAAAATCGATAAAAATTTCAACTTAAAGATTGAGTTTATGAAAGTGGACATTTTTAGAATAGGTCGATAGCTGCCAACTCTTAAAGATTTCACTTTTCTAAATTATACACTTGTGCCTGAAGCATTTACTGACGTATGGTAGAGTATTTGACTATGTGTTCACCTACTTGTGAGTATGTGATGGATCACAAAGTTCCAGAAGAATGGGAGAACTATCTTTAATTTGCTTTCTTTCTTTTATCAGAAGAACGACAATCGCAGCAAAATAAACGACGACAAAACTCAACAGGATGATGTACACGACGTTATTCTTTTCCCTTTTGCTAAGGAATAAATATAAATAAATAAAGAATAAAATTTTCTTGATTGTGTTGAAGAAAAGCAAAACAAGAAGCTGATCATTTACAGAGATAAGACAGATGGAAACAAAGAAAACAGAACAGACAGAACTCGAAAAAAGATCAGTAAAAAAACCCGATGATTTTAGTTTTGTTCTTAATTTAGTAAAATTGTAAAGATATAAAATTTATGGGTTCTTTGAACGCGTAAGTATATCATCATTTTGATTAATGTTGACCATCGTATTTCTACAAAATTTATACATGTACGTTCCATCCAACAACCTCTTTTATCCAAGTCGTTAAATTTTAAGTAAATTCATTACAATTCTGCCATGTTCATCAAGCTAAGTCATCAATTCATTGATTGCTGCCCATTGAGCAATGGAAGTCTTAAATATACACTTTTCTCGCTATTGGCTTGTTCGAATATTTTTCAAACTAGCGCAGATCGATTTCATATTTAGTGACAGATAATGTAATTTTCTCAACAAAGTATTTTTCTTTGATAACTGCATATATTAGTTTATATTTCAGTACCTTTTGGTAATGTTTTCTTTCAACGTTTTTGTGGCAAATTCTGAGGTAATAATGTAGCTGTGCTCCGAGCCACGGATGTAAGGGAAACTATAACAGAAAAATCAGGGGGGAAATGTTAATATAACAAGAGAATAAAAACGACTTTAATTCGATAAAGACACACATGATAAGTTACCTGAAATAAAACGAAAAATTCAGTAAAGTACAATTTACGGAAACGTCTTGCCAAATCTTACTGTCTCCACTCTTTGCAAGACAACGAAACGATGAGATACGAATCTTGTACTTCATGTTAGATTCCATTTTCTGGAAGACAAAATTGAAATTGTTTTCAAACAGATTGCTACACACTTCTGCTTTTAATGCAAATAATTCCCAGTTTTATTATAAAAGAAACCTCAAAACTGTTCTCACAAATTGCATATGTGGTCATTTGTAATTGAGCCTGTTATTACTACGTCATGATATGCATCACAATTTAGTAATTTACTCAACGTACGGAGTAATAATGTATTTCAAAGTCCAAGAAGTATAAAAAGTTTGTTACGCAATGTATGCTATTATGCAGTGGATGCTATGGGCAAATATATAGGAGTGCATGTTTTTTACACCCGGGTCACATGATCTGGCACGTGTCTGATTTCTAACTGACGTAAGACATTAAAACAACATTATTTACGTCCACGTGAAGACAAAAACTACATCGATAAAGTTGTTGTTATCGATCACATGAATACACAAGTGTATTAAAAACTACAACAGTTTTTATCTAAATTACCTCGCATCTTGTTGGCTTGTGATTCCAATGTATACTGACAAAAAACTTTAATTTCTTGCCTATCAAAAACATCATTAGTAGAATGAACAATAGAAATTCTCTTAACTTAAAAAATCACTTTTCTAATCTAAGCAGAAATTATTCATAACTTACAATATGTAGTGAAGTTGACAGAAGAAAACAACTGTTCGAGAGGTTCCATGCGTGTTCGTTGTACTAATGTTTCATTATTGCATCTAAGAAAATACATCATTAAAAAAACCATTTCGAGACTTAATTTAGTGCAAAAGAGTAGTGTAAAACGTGTCATAAACACCGTCATGGTTATTTAAGTAAATTCGTTATTTTTCGTAGCTACACTCCTCATTTTGCGCATATTTATTATTCAAGGTGCATGTGACTATAAGCCAAATAAAAAATGCGTATAATAAAGAAGGACAATGATCAACTCAAAAGAAAGTGCCACATTTTATGCGAAAAAAATTGAAAACCATTCAGACACCTTAATATTTACTCTTCCTACGTACCCAAGTGCGTATAGTACCAATATATCGCTATAATCCTACAGGTTTTTATTAGTAACAGCATAATTTTCAGCATTCACAAGCATATACGTAGATTTACCGGACTTCCAGTTGCAACTTCAGGTTGCTTGGCCAAAATTCAAAAGGTAAAACTTGAACATAAAGGCCAGCGTCAACATATGCCATAAACAAATGCATCTCATCAAAACGAAGAACGTACGATGACCATGACAAATTATTTGTAAACTGCAATCAACAAATAGATACAAAAGTTCCATTAGAGCAAGTTTTGCAAACATCAGGTCTAACATTCAAACAATGTTCCAGTTTATACGTAGTACAATAAGAGATACCTTGCAGAAGTACAAATACTCACAATTTTCATATTTGGTTTTAGCTGCATTCCTAGTTTAGTAATTTTCTCCCCACAATAGGGTATATTTCTGCAGCATTGCTTTTTTAGTTTTATGAGTGACGATACTGCCTAGGAGACATAAAAAAATGATAGGCAAACTCAATATGAAAAGTAATCTAAATTAAAACTGACAACACGACCTGCTCACTATGTAGTGACACCACTAACATTTTTTTTTCAAATATCGAGTTGTGATGTTATAATGTATAATGTCGACACTGTTTTCCGTCGAATATATCAAACCAATCGTCATTTACACATTTTGGTATCAAAAAATTTGGAAATCTTATCTCGAACATAAAATCCGTCAACCAGACGAATCAATTTCAGTATATTTCAGGCTGATTTTGACGACTTCAAAAATTCTGTCATCCTCCTTCACAAAAGTGTTCTCATCTTAAATCTCAATCCTAATGTCTAGTGCATTTTAATTCTCTTAAACTATAATTAACTCTATTCTAACTCTCTGACAACATTACATCACCTCACGTAAAAAATCTCATTTTAATGTAATTATCATATCCTGTGTATAGCTATGAAATCTTTTAAATAAGTCGCTTCAATAATCAAACTTCCTACGTTCTTACCGGCCTTAAAAGTTTCTTTTAAATAAGTAGCTTTATAGTCAAACTTCCTACGTTCTTACCGGCCTTAAAAGTTGAAATTGAAAATTTTGTTGTTTGTTAAGCAGTCGATTGTGTAATCATACAAGAATTCAAAGCTTAATTAATTAAGTGGATTGATTTTTTGTTACAATAACCTCCCCACCTCTCTCTTCTCCATGCTAATCACTTTCCCTGTAAAACAAATTGAGAGTGCAAGATCTAAAGTAAGGACTTTCAAGTACAAAATCTTTTCACTTGTGAAGAAAGAATAACTAAACCAACTTTCTCAAACCAAAATTTCTAATTTTACATATTAAACAATTGTGAACATACTTGATATGTTTCGCCATTGTGGAAAGGATCAAAGTCAAACTTCACAAACTGCAACCCACAACCAAATAAATGGCATTCATAATCTTTCTTGGCAACTATCCCTTTCGTTGCGATAAATATACTTTCATTTCCACAAGGAAATTGGACACTTTCATTTCGATAGGGCGAATACTTGAGTAAACAAGCACTGAAAAACTTCTTATATGGTCTTTGTTCGAACTTCGGAGGAAAATGAACTATCTTTCTCCACAAAATAGCCTCAAATAAAAAATATAATAAAATTATAAATCATAACGATAATCTGTTATAAACCACAACAGGCTCGAAGTTCGATGGACTCGCTTATTGCTGCATCAATAACAGAAATGCAAATTTCAATCCACTTTAATTTAAAAAAATTAGTTCTTTGTATAAAAGATCGCAATTTCTTATGTGTCCAAAAATGTTTTGGCTACGATTATGGGGACAAGCACCTGGCTAAAATTTTGAATATTATCAATCATTTACTGTTGTATGTCACTCAACGTCATTTCGTTGAAATATATCAGAAATCGTAAAGAATGTTTCAGTAAGAAAAAAGCGCGTGTGTAACACTTTTTACCACGAGTATAATTTTTACAATTTACGAGCAATCATAAAACATAAGTCCGAACAAACAAAAATAATTTTATCTGGGGTCATAATTCAATTTGTATGTTTCTCAATTTAACCACAGTATAGAGAAAATACAGTAGGGCCACTCCATTGAATTTTTTCGTGCCACGCATATCTTACTTATTATGCATGTGATTACCATATTGGCAGCCAGTAAATTGCATTGTGTGACCAATAGGATTGACGATATGGCAAACGGCAGCCAGTAAATTAATTAAATATACAGCAGCCAGTTCCACAGAGAAGTGGCTCTACTGTATATTCCTATACTGTGATTTAAGTTTAGTTGCCAAATACAATTTCATGGTGAAAGAAACTTGGACAAAGTGGAAAGATTCTCCAGGAATGAAAAAAAAATGGTATTCTTTAGGATTATGTTGAATTAGTACAAAAGGAGTCATAAGTTGTGACAAAGGTTAGGTTCAGCTTTAGGGTTAAGGTAACGTCCTATGTTTAGAATAAGGTTTCGTTGTATTTAATAAGCCTGATACACAACTGAACTCGTGTAACGCTATTCAAAATCATTATCAGGCCAATACTGGTTTAGTGGTCATATCCAAGATGGCAACTAGTACAAAAATTTAGGATTTGTCAATAGAATAGAATATTTGTGAATATTCGCCATAAAAACCAAACCGTACATCATCGACGCAATTCCTACCTCATATAGACGATGAAGTGAATTAATAACTTTATATTTGCTTGTATGATTTTTAACAGATGATATCGTTTTGTTTGCCACCTCTTCAATGTCTTCAGAAAACTGTTCGTCAATCTCCTCAGCTCTTTTACTTTCATCATTACGTAGACTTTTTGTATTTTTGTCAAGATATTCAATCGTCTTACTGCTGTCAACCTTGAAAAACGAAAAGTAACAATTAAGTTGATCTAATAACAAGTTAAAATTGTTAACATTCATCAAAGCTGAAATTACTTACCTCTCCCAGAATTCCTGTACACATTTCTAATGTTTTCGCGTGTTGCATGGCAATGTACTGAATGAAACAGAATTTTTTGGTGAATAAAACAAGAAGAACTATAAAAACAGTCGATGTTTACGGAAGCGCCAGTTAGAAGGTTATAACTAAGAATAAAAATGAACGCATTCCCTTGCTTTTAATATGTTTGTAAAAAGGAAAAAGAATAGAAAAGTCAATCTCTGCAGTCACTAACTTACCGTATTAGATATTGTAACTCTTCCAAGAAGATCTAAGAGAATTGTTTTTATTTGACGATGGATATCAAAATCTACTCTATACGTTGGTGCGCTGAAACAAAGTATGTATGACAATAAAAATGTGTAAAAGCTATCACTTTCACAAACAATATCATCATCCGGGGTATGTTAACCAGAATGTCAAATTGCAAAAATTATTGAATCTATATGTGAATATATGTCGATGCTTGATTGCAGTAAGTTATTTTTCAGTTTTCTTTGCAAACAAGCAAGGAGCAAGTCATTTTTCGTGTACAGACATGCACATACCTGACTAAAGCATCAGCAATTAACGATATATCATATAAAATTTGACTATGATATGCAAAAGGATGACGAGGATAGGACATATTGATGGCCAATGTGCGGTTGTACCTATTGAAAAGAGGTATAGCTGTCAATATTTTTTCATGCTTATGTTACAATAGAGGGATGTCACATGAAGACAAAACCTCCAATTGAAACGAAATTTAATGACCGAATATAACATTTTCCGCGTTCATCTATAGTTGTCAACAGGAGTTTGATAAAAAGAAGCTTAAATTGTGTTTTCACACAATTTCAAGTAATGGTAATGTTCTCGACTGTTGATACAACTAATTTTTACAAAGAAAAAAGCTACGTTTTTAAAAAATGTAACACAAAATTATATTACGTTAAGCTAACTATTTTTAACACAAATTGTCCATTCTAGCAGAAATATTTAACGAATTAAAACATTTTTTCGGCGAAAAACTTTGTAAATGGCTTGTTCGCAATGCATATCAAAAAACTTTTAGCCAATCAGCGCATCGTATTTATAAATTCCATATTACTGTATAAAATTTTTTTATTCGGAACACCAATGCGTTGTTGTGTTAATTAGCCTAGTGTTTATTTTCTTACATGAAGTGTCTCCAGTTTGTAAAAGATCAAACCTATGATGCACCTACCCCAAAAAAAGTCAATTTATGGAGAATAACAACAAAATTCGTAACTTCACATCGGCAGTGGCGTAACTAGAACGTTAATTAGCAGGGGGGGCGGTATTCATATATTTCATAGTGCCCTACTGATTTTTTTTGAAATTGAATTGAATTTCAAAAGAAGTCAGTAGGGCACAACCATTGGACACAACTGAATATATGAATATACACACCCCTCCTCCAAATGAACGTTCTAGTTACGCCTCTGCACATCGGTATATACATAGATACAAAATAAACGATGACTGTATGGTGTATCGATAGTTGTTAAACATATAGGATCTTTAAGAGAGAAACTTTTCCACACGAAAGTAGTTATATAACTCAATAAATCAGATTAATTAACAGATGTATAAATTAGTGTATATACCGCATACATTATACTTACAGATAATCCACAGTTGACGCGTTCACCAAGAAGTTCGTCACATTTATGCCACAATATTCTCTCACTGTCCCAATCTTGTCTTCGATTGACAAATATAAAAACAAATCATCTGCTTGCGCAGATAAATATAAAATAACACTTGTTTTCCCTGTCTCTATTTCTTTAAAAGCACACAGGATGATAAAAATTTGGATGAATGAGAATTCCACACAAGGCTATTGTGAAATATTACCTTCCCCATTAAAAGGCAATTGAACTTTAAAACGAGGGACCATTCTTTGAAGAAAGAATCTTGATTTATAGCCGTTTGACCGCTTGAGTAAAATGTTGTATATCAAATTTGCATTCTAGAAAAAATAAAAAACCAAAATATTCTAACATTAAAATTGACTTTCCTTTGAATTATAAAATGCAGGGGGTGTGAAAATCATGAGAAGATTGGATAATTCAAAGACGGCTGCAAACAGACATTTTATATAGCATTACTTTTTCAGTTGCATTTTTCCTTCCACTTATAAATTTTCCATAAACGCATAATGTTTACAGAGCAAAGAATTTTTTGATCATGTTTTACTAATTGCTATAAAATTGAATTTCTTTAAATAAAAAATTAAATTTCTTTAGGTAAAAAACTAACTTAACTTGAACCAATCTTTTTTTCTGTTATCGGTGTCCTTTTTGATCTCATATGATCAAAGTTATAATAAAAGTTTTCAGGACAATGCTTCTTGTGACACACTAGTTTTAGTTGCTTTTTGTTTTTAAAGAATCATCAAATTGCTCAACATAAAAATTATAAACGAACTCTGACGCAAAGTCCAGAGCGATTGTCATAGTAACCGACCAAGGTTAAAATATCAGTCCAGAAAGCAGACAATCAAAGCGCAAGAGCATGATAAATATAGCAAAATACACCTTGTCAATGTCACAAAATATTTCACATTCTCCGTTCTCCGTGGAAGGTCTGACTTCACAAGAATAATTGTAGGGTATATCTTCAACATAAAAAGATCTTCCAGCCATCGTTGTTTCTTCAGAAGTGCGATTTAATGAAAATTGTTGTCTTTGAGGCAACGTGTTCTTTTTGATAAGCAGTAACGATGAGGAATGATTGTGGTAGTCAAAGTCATCCAGCATAATTTGAACTGTCTTTAATGACTTAGGCGACTCCTTGCAACTAGGCACTGAACATTTTGACTGCTCTTTATATTCTCGAGGTTTTTTTGACGCTTTTGAACACTCCACTAAATTGTAATCGAATCTCCACCTGCGTTCTTTATAAACAAAACAACACGTATAATGTATTAAGGAGAGGATGCATAGTAAAATACATAAATATTAAGACCTGTTGTGAAGGGATAGCTAAAAAATCATTGATCCCCGGAGATACGAAAAACGATAAAATATATCAAATGTGATTTTATCAAGTAGATTGAAAGAACTTAATCAGGAAAAATTTGTTTCAGATGAGCCACCCCTCTACCCCAAACATTGACGTATAGTGTGGTACAGACACAGCTCAAAGAATTTGGAATAAATTCAAAATGTGTCGTGAATAAGAATGATGATCATAGGGTAAAAACGTTTAATAAGTTGATTTCTTGGTATTCTGATGAATATATTTTGCTACATTATGAAAAAAAAATATCAAAAATGTACAATAGTTACTACTAACTTACTCTTTATGTTTTCATTTGTCAAATTAACTTGGGTGCAATCCAACTGCCTCAGTTTCGTGTTTCCATATGACGTGCGGAATGCGAAGAACTTCCACCAAGTAGAACAATTTTCTTGAGTATTTTCATCAAGAAAGCTTTCAATAACTCTAAGAGGTCTGCTTGGATTCACGTGACTAGTATTACCCATGTCGCGGGATAGGAAATCCAAAATTATGTCAGATCTTCAAATATAATGAATATAAGAAGATCTAATCCCTTATTAAATCAATATTAGATCGCAAAAAACTAGTCTGAAAAGGCATATACATCTAAAATCCTGTGAGGTAAATATATCTTAATGAGCAAGAGAAAAAGATTTGAAAATCTCCACAACTCTAAGATTGCGCGTTGTGCACAAAACAACTCAAGATTGTTCATACAATGAAAGTGTTTTTGTTTAAAGTAACTATTTATGCTAGGTGCTATAAGTTTTCTTTCCGTTATAACATAAATCAAATCTCTACATTCTTATGTTGGGATATTATTAAACTATTTCCTAACAAATTATACGTTATTACGCAATAAATTGTTTTTTTCCCGAATAATTCACAAATGAAACTTACGTCAAGCTATTTGTGCAATACAAATACAACATAAATACAATGTTGACCTACAGTCATACACTTACTGAGCACAATCTGCTTCGTTGACAATTTCAACATGCTGACTTGTCGTTCTACTTCGATTTCCTACTGAAACTTTAACGGTAACATAACGAAGAGAATGTTGCATGAGATAGAACATAGATGCATTTGATACGACGTCCTTGCCTTCATTGATAAACCATTCAAACCTTAAACGAATCAGTTATAGTTATTCTCAACACGAATTTGCCTGTCCCCATTTTAGGGTTAAACAAGTCCATGAAATGCAACTAAATGAGTTAAATGTATTTATAAAACAGAGCGTCAAATGTTTTTTTTTATCAACTGTGAACTTTTTCCACACCTTCGCATAAAATGAATCAAATTGTTTATTTAAACTCTCTAGAAAAGCAAACGGTTAAGTCCATAAACAATCACACTTTCCTTTACATATGTCAAAAATGATGACCATGGTATGAAAAGTTTAATAATATATTTTAAATCGTACGGAGTCTACTTTAATTTAATTTTAAAAAATGCATGTATGATTCGTGGCAATCGTTTAAAAGAAAAAGAAAACTTTCCAGTACATAAAGAAAGTATTACAGTCTGAAACTTTTCATTTTTCACAATAAGCTGTCTCAATTATCATACTTGGTGGTTGTTATACTTACCGAAGTGTTGCGTTCGTATTTTCTGGGTCATATGATGGAGTTGCATCAAACAGAACATTGGACTTTCCAGTTACATATCTGTAGGCGCCACCGCGAATTATAGCTCTAAGAGGAGTTTCCTCGATAACAATGGTCGTCGAAAAATTTTTGACGTTCGATAGATTCACACCATTTACCTATAAAATAGCAAACAAATGGAAAAATCATGACGTTTGCATTAATAATTGTATGTATTGTATATATTTCCATCAAGTGGATAACTAAACAAACAAAATTTCGATGTCACAAACAACCATCCATCTATCAACCGCAAAACGATGAATTACGCATTATGACTAGTGTTAAGTTCTAAACATAACGACGGAGGTTAACGACGACGAGAGTTCCGAGCTTCCTCAAAGTTTCTAGTGCAAAGTTTCAAATAAACACTACCTTTTTGACTTGTAGGTTAAATTAATCTTAAACATGCTTTATAAACGGGTTTGAGAATGCATTTCTTCAAACATATTTTGATTTGGAAAATTCGACATGGAGTTTCTTTTTATCTACGCGAGGTCTTCCCACAAAATTATAAATTATTGTCTTTAAGTGACTTTTTGATTTACGTTTGTATCACAAAGCAAACATGTATTGATTGTTCAATATACCATGAGCTCGTTTATACTCCTTCGCCTAATCTTATATAAACATATCCTTTTGCCTAACCTTAACATACATTTTTAACGAAATTTCGTGGACACTACAGATGTATATAGACATTCCAAACATGCAGTGACAAAATTCTAGACGACCTTGCTGTCTTACTATGGAAATAAAGCTTGTAAATTAGATTTCACTCACATTAATCTCGACACTGAAACGATACTTCCCACGAGCTAGAACATTTTCTGGAATGTAAATGCTGTTAACGCATTCATTGCCTGTTGTTCCACAATCCCATTTCTTTCCATTGAAATTGAACGTTTCTTCCCAAAACAACCAATCTTTCCATTCATCGGTGAAATTTGCAGTCTAGCGTAAAATAGGATAAACGAATTAACAAAAGAACTTTAAGGGAACGGGAATTAAAGGGAACGCGCACAATAATTGTTGATGTGTTATTGCAGAAAAATTCGAGTATGATCTGAAAGATTAAGCTAGCTTATCTTCATTTCAATGAAATTTACCTACATGTACACTATTCAAACGATCACAACAGGCATCAACAATATGAATGCATGAAGAAAGTTGATGCCCCTGATGTAAAGCTTGCTTTAAGATAGGCATCAAAGTGTTGAAGTCGATAGCAAAAACAGTAATAAGTATTTTTAGAACATTTGCCTGGGACGAAAAGACCAATGAAGATGTTGATACAAATATACACAAATGTCTTCAGAATGACAAAGTTTAATACTCTAAAGTTTTACATATATAGTGAGTCAAAAAAATCATCAAATGGCGTCCTACGTACTGCACATCATTAAAATGGTAAACAAATTGAGTACCATGTTTCATAGTGGATCCTGGACTCTATATATTAACAATTTAGACTGTAATTTAAAAACGCTATTCAATATATGACATTACCTTCCAAAAAAAAACAATGGAAACAGCGTCTGAACAAATCAAATTTAACGTTGATACTTCTAAGAATATTGGGCGGTTGCGATATTGAATAACCTATATATAACAATCGAGACACTACATAAAACTAGATACGAATGAAAACTGACAGGCCTTGCAAAAGTTGAACAGTTTTACTATCAAATAGATCTTTGAATGACATTTGAGATACACAGTAGATTATTACAACAGCGTCATAAAAAAAGACAAAAAGTAGTTTCTAAATTACAGTAATTAATCATAAAACTCTAATCTTCCACGTACACACACTTTCTTCAAACATGTTGCTTAATAGTTTGTCCAATGGCTATCCAGATCTATTTTGAGCATCCACTAATATACGTTTTAAAACAATAGTCAAAGGAAAATAGAATTCAAAATACTGCAATTACACTTGCCTCAAGTCCATCTTTGAATGAAGTGCTAATTGTTCCTTCGTCACAAAGCTCAAGATTAATGTTCACATTTGTAATATTCTTTATGTTGCTATAGTAATTACTTGCCACTACTGTCATCGTGTATTTCCCTGACCTAAATTCAAAGAATTCATTTGGTCCTTAAAATTTGAAACCCTTTTTTCTTTAGCTACATAAAGTGAATAAAGAATGACTGGCTCGTTTATGCTTCGCACTAGGTTTTTTAACATCAAAGTGTGTTTTTTTTATATATTCAATAAGAAAGTAATGTTGTTTTTCTTTGATGACGCTGAAAAAATAAAAACTCTCTCTCGCCTATATTGCCTTACAGTTTTCTGAGGGATAAAAATGTAAAAGCTGTGAACGTAAAACTTTTATGTGCTCAGTCTTTGACGAAAGTGTTTATTGCAAAGGAATTAGCTATGATAGCTACAATCACGAGCAAAAAATCTATAGACAAAAAGGGCGAAAACTCTACTGCATGCTTTTTTCTTCATTACTTGTGGTATCGATGAGTCAAGATATCTTTAGACGTACTCTCAGAGGCACCATCACCAAAATCCCAAAGATACCTCACTCCTTCCTTACTATTTACAATCACTTGGAATGACAAAGATTGACCAAGGTCGTGGGATTCATGGTGAAGTGTTTTGTTTATTTCCAACTACAAGATTAAATACACAGTCGTCCGTACAGTTCATTTTCATGTTAAAAATCTATATGTATATGTTAAACCAACTTTTCCAACCTTTGTTAAATTTGCCTGAATGGAAACCTTCTTTTTATGTGACCAAGAAGTTTGATTGTTCCACACGCTGACCACGTAACTATAAAATATGGCCGGGATTCTGCAGATCAATCATCAATGCTTACATAAAATGCACGAGAATTTTACACTTGTATATTTATATACAAATCTAACAATACTTATACCTTCCCGGTTTCTTGAAAATATGATGAAATGTTTTGTTTGCGGTTTTCATGTGAACTCCATCAACTTTCCAGATGTATTCTTTTTTTGTGCTTGATAGGAGTTCTTCTAACCTAAACTCAGCTTCTTCGTTCACACGATAGCAACATGGAGAGTTAATTCGAGAAAGTTCTACAAACATTATAATATGTTTTGTTTAACATACACCTTGACTTACACAAAGGGATATTCCTGCGTGAGTGAAACTTTTTTACAAAAAACAACACACAAATTTACAAGAAATGCGCGATGTCTTGTCTCATAATACTTGCCTTTTACTTTGGAAAACAGACGTCTATAAATCGTTCTGTTCAAAACGGTTAAACTCACGCGACATTCATTGATCTCACTGGAGGTACTTTTTAGAGCTGTTTTTAAAATCCAAATTCCTTCTACAAGTAGACAAGATGAAACATAGAGTTGAATTGATATTTACATATATACAGTATACATGTATTAACCTACCTACCATATATATATTTATTTATAAGTTTACAGCAATGATCTTTGGTGAGTAAATTCAAGTATGTACGGAGATTGATAGTAGTTGTTTTAGTGAGTATAATTTAATGATAATTCTACAACTCATATATTCTTACTTTTTTTTCTCTGCCACTTTATATTGAAATAATCGCAATTTGTCTGATCCAACTTGAAGGAAACATTGTTACAAGGTCCATTGTGATAAGCTGTCAGTTTTGTGTTAATTTCGCCTTCGGTAAAGTTTGTTACATTATGCGAAATTTTTAAATCGTTCACTCTGCAATCAAAGTTCAATTCGGTTGTTGTCTTAGCCTCACCAAGTGGATTTCGAGCAAGAATCGTAAGATTTTGTTTGCCATGATACTTTTCGTGAAGGTTTAAAAGTGATACATTCCAGTCAATACGACAAACGTCGTATATAAGTTCACTGTACGCGCGATAAAAATGTACATCTTCTCTTTTATCGCCCAAATGAAGAGAAAGATAGTAAACCGTACCTTTGATCATGGATTTTGCCTTCAACTTACGATAACTTCCAGCAGTTTCAATTTTAGTCATGCTAATTTTCTCCAACACAGTAAATTTTTCCAATTTTTTAACATCTTCCCCGAGAGAAATTTTATAATCTCCTCGTTCCGTAAGCTCAATATCACTTATACAAGACGTTTTGTAAATCTCATTTCCCTTCCTTATGTCAAGTTCGCATTTGCCGTGAACGTTTTTCAATTTATTTTTCCAGTCATTATCGGTGTTACTATCAATCACAACTCTGTCTTCATACATCAATACTATTGTTCTGTTTGCTCTGAATTTGCTACCCAATTCGACAAAGTTATTGAATTCGAATTTTACAGTGAAATTTGTCAACTTGTAGATCGAAAGTTCAGAGATATTGTGGCTGAAAAACAATAACACAATGTAAACTTAGTGTTCAGACCACAAGCATGCACCCTAAAGTAAAACCGTGCAAGCAAAATCATTGCAAAGTAAGAGCAAACTCATTTTTAGTTTTACAATATAGAATTTTAATAAGCTAAATTTTAGTGTATACACTGTGCCAAACTACGTACGTACTAACAGCTAGTACTGACAATGCTGGATGAATTGAATGATATGTTGGACCATATGAACTTCGTTAGGCTCACCCTTAATGTTCTACCTGCTGAAAGATTTCTACTTAAAACTGAAATGAACAGTGTTAAAAAATGTATGTAAAACGAGTGTTTTGTATAGTCAAACTGGAACTGTTGACTACAGCAATTCTAGAAAGCAGCCATATAGCTAGCAAATATACAAATACAGCTATTTTTTACCACATAACTAGAACGCTCTTCTACAGGATAAATGAAGCAAAATTTGCAAACATTAAAAATCAATTTTACAGTATACAAAATAAGACATAACTCCTTGGCAACTATTGTTTCCTAAACATTTTTCTACACATTATTCTTTCCCAAACATGTTCTATGTCAACTGTTAGGTAAAACTTTGTTGTTTTCTCGAAAAAAGCTGTTTTGACAGTGAACTGTTTGTAAACGAACAATAAAAAGCTCTTCTCAAAAGAAACTTTGGCAAAATATGCTTTATGAACCAAATATAAAATATTTTGATAGATAATGTTTAGAAGATTCTACAAATGAAAGATTTTTGGGCTTATGATTTGGTCATTTGAGAACTTCATCCTGCCATTGTAATCTGGCAAATTATACAATGATGAATGAATCATCATATCATCTGGACTTTAAAAACCATAACTGAATATATAATAAATAATTGAAAAACTCTTTAGCCATAACATACAACTTCTTTCAATCATTGCCATAGAAAAATCAATAATTGTGGGGGGGGGTCATATTTATATATGCATGATATTCAGCTAAGTTCCTTTGAAATCTATTGTTTTCAACAGATTATCAAATGCATAGATATAAATTCTAGCCCTCCCCCCCCAATTATCGATATTCCTATGCCCATGAATTGAATGCAGTTATCAAATTCAGTTTTCAAACAAGAGATTTGCTGATAAACTTTACTTGACATTGACAGAAACATTAATTAATATATATATTCGACAGGGCTATTTACCTGAAGCCATCAGTCAGATTCAGATTTTCATGACTTATCTCTGTACAAAAACAGCTATTCTTAGAAAAAGCAGCAGTCTTACTTGTACTATAAAATAAATATGTGTGATTCCATATGAATTCTCTAAAAGGACTTAAAAAAACATTAGGGCAATAACAGAGTAAATTTCATATCATTATCGTTATTAGCTGTTTAGAAACCTATTGTTTTGAAAGTGACTAAACTTAGAAAAATTTCAGGATCAAATATTAAAGTGGACTGGCTAAATGCTACAGCAAGAGCAATTTTTTATTTTATTGCAAGCTTCAACCATGGCAGATTTAGTTGGAGTCCTTGAATTCTAAAACCGTATAATTTCCTTTACCTGTGATTTTCTAAGCAAGTTTTTAGGCAAGAAAAAGTACTGCTACAAAGATATTTTTCCCAGTCATGTTTTTTCATAAGCGTTCCACTTCCAATCCTACCAACGTAATTTTTCTGAGAATTGTCCAGCGATATAAAAGCACCACCTATACAATGTGTAACAAATAAATTCCCCATCAGCAAGAATTCCTAAATGCCAATTTATATGTAGTAAAATGATTGACAAAAGAGTGATAAAATCAACATACATCGCAAATTCCTGGCTTAATTTAATGCTGTAGGAAAGCAACTTTCCACTGTCAGTCGCGCACGTATGTAGATGAATACACGGTTAGATTCATAATACATATTTACAACGGTCACACAATTAGAAGAACAACCTACCGTACTCATTAGTAGTAGATGGAGCTACGCAAATGATGTAAAAAATAATTGCTAGCGGTAATGTTTTCATAGTGCTCATACATAATGCATTGCCAACACTGCCAAGAAATCTTGAAAAGCAGCCAAATTCCAACAAGAGGCCAATAGTGGCCAAGGGTTCGTTCTTGAGCCTGTATTTCCTATGGCATGCGGTGATTTATAAGCTCTGACGAGTGAACAGTAACATTTGTAATTGTTGATATTATAGTTCACTGGCTGTGACCAGGTTTCCAGCTGTTACCATGTCCAGTGAATTTAGATTTTCCATTTCTACTTTATGTAGTAAAGAAATGCAATAGCAGCAATAGACAACACCTATGGTTACTTCTCACATAGTTCTTTCCAGATAAAATTTTTTTATTATTATAGTTCAATGGCTGTGACCAGGTTTCCAGCTGTTACCATTGGCTGTTACCATGTCCAGTAAATATAGATTTTCCATTTCTACTTTATGTAGTAACGAAATGCAATCGCAGCAATAGACAACACCTATGGTTACTTCTCACATAGTTCTTTCGAGATAAAAAATTTTTATAAAAGAGATACAAAACGCATAATAAATTTTAGATATTTTATCATTGCTCGGCAGCAATGGGTATTTTTCATTGACCTCGGTGTAAACCTAAGCATGAAAAATTTCTTAGAAAATGTGAGAGTGACAGTAAAACCATAGAGGAAGATTTCAATCTATTTGAAGGAATTGAAATAAGACCAGTTGCATACTGCAGCATCAGTTCACCTCTTTCATCTTTACAGTTTACTCACGGTGAGAAAACAAACAATAGCATATTCTGGAATGTGTTTACGATTCATACAGGGTGAATTAAACCCAAAGTACTGCAAACGTAATTTACGTAAGAGGTAAATTAATTACGGATAATTAATTCCAACGCAGACTGTTTTTTTCCTGACTTTAATTGATAGGTAATCATAGTGTTTAAATAATACGCACAACGAAAACATTTTATCAAACTTATGGTCTCTTATTTCATGACGATGTTTTACATTAATACATGCTTTGCTAATTAAAGGCATCATACATAAACTTATAGGATTTTTTCTGCATAACTCTTTTAGGTCTGATTATTTCTTGCATTGATTTCCACGCCCATGTTACAATGATACATATAGATAGAGAAGACAGTTTGAACACGAAATTCTCTCTTTCTTCGTAGTAAAATTTCAACAATTTATAATATTGAAAATAGTTTTGATAAACATGATAATCTTAATATCTGTTAAATCCAAATACACGAACTTTATGAAGCTGCGGTAATTTAGGGATCAGAGCAGAAGCAAGAGCAACAGAGTTGAAGAGAAAATGCACCGCATCGTACTTTGTGTAAAAGCTAGCAAGGATAAATCTAAAAACAAATTAATCATAGTTAAATTTTGAAAGATTAACTAATTCACTTAATAAGTATTCAAATATTCTATGCTTAAATAGCTTAACTGTAAACCAAAATATATCAGGGTTAGGTGGCACGAAGCCCATATACCGCTATCTATTGAATGCATCGTGTATAAATCATAGTTACGTATTAATAAAGATGGTTTTATTTACTTCAAAAACATAAATCCTATTGATTTATCACTTTAAATGGCAGCTTTTTGTCTTCTCAAAAATCCCCTCAGCTTGGAACAACCGTTCTCAGACACGTTTTCAAGAATTTACAGAGCAAAATCCTGTGTGTCATATAAACGTTTGAGAAAAAAGAATGTTGATAAGTTCAAAAAAATCGCATTTTTCTCAGCACCAGGAAATTTATAAACAATATTGATGTTCTCTCGAAAGGGAAATTCACATCTTTCCATGAAGCTTACAGGTAAAACTAACTTTTTTTTAACAAAAACTCGAAATAAGACTGCTCGACTTTATATATGCTTTGAACATTGACTTGATATTAAATTAGTAAAATCTTTGTGGAAAGCTTTTAAGCAATAGAAGTGCTCGCACTTTCAAGAAATAAACTTTTACAACTTACATGACAACAGGAACAAGCGTCATGAACTTTTTTGTAGACGTATTTTGTGTTCCTTGATTGATTTGCTCCCAATGGGTGAGCCTGCGATCTTTACCCTGAGAGCCGCCATCAACAGAGTTTTCAAATGGATTTCCTTTTAGATAGTGGAGAAAATAGTAGGTTGCCTAAAACATGAGATAATTTTATAACTCATGATCATTTTGTGCGGGAAGCCTTTGCGCTTGCCTACGTCATAGACACAAACTTCACGTGTGGCTCTGTGCAATATGCAATATAATAGAAGAAAAGCTTATCCCCGCAAACGTCACATTCGTTTGAGCTGTCGCTCAAATTATACTGCTTTATACAAAATTAAACGCAAACTAATTCTTATTCAGACTAAATCTAATTCAAATGCTATTGCGAAATGAGTTATTTACAGCTTGGCTGGGAATCTTTCGTATATTTAGCTTGTATTTTGTGCCGTCAAGTTCCTTCTGTTCGAAAGATAAAAAAAATTATAAAAGATGATATCAGAACAGAATTGGAAGCCGTTCCTGCGAGCATTAATAAAGCAGTATATTTTATGAAGTAAGCTACCTTTAGGCAGGCTATGTCCAACTACAGGGTATGGGATGAACACGTATACAAAACCTCCTTTTTTTGAAATCAACCGACATTTACGTAGAATTACCATGATCCAAGAAGCCGTAAACGCAATTGAATACAATAAAACATCAAATTGCACATACTGCACATTGCAGATCCCATGCTAGGAAACTCAGTTCAATGACGTTTAAACCTTCTTGGAAATCATTCACTCTTGAATCATGAAAATTTAAATGTTGGATGACTACAAAGACAAGAAGTTTTTTTATACATCTTGTATGTTACAGCTATAGCCACTATAAAAAGTTTATTCCTTCGTTCGTGTTCCATTGTTTCATTCATATCATTGATCTCTGCATGTGGACTGGATGTATATACGTAAACTCGTGTTATTTTCCATTTTGGGAAATCACTTCATGAATAAAGACCATGATATTTCATATGTAAATGTAAATTTCCTGATCATTGCAGAAAATATTTTCATTAGAGTGACATGCATATTGTTAAGCTCCTTTTTTGGCAGTAGTTCATGGAGGTTAGTCCTTCAACAATGATCAATGTACATAAAACCACATGCATTAATGGTCTATTTCAAAACTTTTTGGTCAACAAAAAATAACAAAGTATCTTTCCTGTATAATTCAATTCATCATCTTTATTACTGTAGTATCTAAACAGAAGTTTGGAAGTCTGTATTCCTTGATTAAAATAATCCTTTTATGCTCAACAATGAGTTGAAAATTAATTAATTGTATGTATTGATACATATTTCTGTTCATGTACATGGTTTGCATTGTAAGCTAAATATGGAAAAATGCTTCCTCCTTTTATCACATCATTCATGAATGCATTGCCTTTTGTGATGCAAATAATTCACAAATTGTACTTTAGAAACAAAATCAAAAAATGACATGGCTCATTGGATATTCTCTACTTATAAGCAAAAATTTACGTTGGAGTTTAATTGGCATCATGGTTTTGCTTTCTTGTGATGAAATTATTTTGTCCATATAATAAAACCTTTATCGAAAAAGCCAAATACCTAGAAACTTTTCTAAGTTTTAAGTTTTATGATGTCTATCAGAAGAGTAATCAAAAATACAAGTATCTACATCATTTGAAACAAAACCCATTTTTACACTCTGTAATGTGGCATATGTAACAGGACCAAATTTGTGGGCTAGCTATGTCAGTATGATTCACACTTCTACACATATTTCTTTCTACATAATTAATGTTCCAAATTTTGATGATACAATTGAGGAAGTGCATTGACAAAGAGTTTTGGAAACTTGTCTTTTCAAAACTTAGTGACTGAGCAAATTACTTATCTAATTATGACCATGATAAATTTACACAAGAGACATACATAGTTGATAATGTTGAAATCCAATTATGCATATGAATTCCCATTAAATAAATGGCTTTATGTGTTTTAAAATTTTTATCCAATAGGTATGTAGTGTAGAACATTTAGTTCTTGTAAATGTTAATTTAAAAACTAAAATAAATTCATTAAGAATAAAAAATCTATGGCAATCATTCCAAAAGCTTTACTTTGTAGTCTCATTGCTGCCTTAAAGCCAGCACAACATAATTTTCCAATTATTCAGTCAATCTGGTGTGCAAATTTAAAACATAAATAAATACTTGTTGGTTGAGAAAAAAATCATCTCATTGACCAGCAGAAAGTATTTGTGCAACTTCTTTGTTTTATATTAAAAGCAAAAGTATCCATTTGATAGCTTATAAATTTTAAAGGCCAATATAAAACAGTTTATTTATTTTAAACACTTTAAACATTAATCACTGTTTCCTCAAGCTTTTGCTGATGTACATATATACCATATTTTTATGTGCCAGAATTGGGAATCTTAGCTTTATCATTTGTGGTATCAGTAAGATCTCTAAAGTTTGGTCTAACAATGGACTTCATTGTTATATACTCACTCAATGACATAAATAATTAATTTTTCAACCAATTTATTTAATGCCTTAATATGAAAAGACAGAATAATCAATCAACAATACCAATGAAATTTAAGTTATAATAAAATATCTTCAGAAAGCTTATGTCAACTTACAATGCAATGTATAATGCTTGTGAGAGTCCATGCCGTTGCTGTGCCAATAAAAGGTATACTGAGAATGGCTAAATGTGTAATGCATACGACAACAGCATACGTCAACCACGATCCTCTGCCTTCAAGCCACGATTCGTTTGGATTAAAACGACTATGAGGCGCTTTTTCCGCCATTCTCAAACTAAATCTTGTACATTTACTGATACCACCACTTGCACGATTTTATAAAGAAATATCGGCTTTGTTCAAACCTGGCCAATCTTGAATGGTCAAAGTCAATTCCAAGTTTCGAACAAGTTTGGATTCAAGTTTTTAACTTGTGTGAAGTCGGATGATGACGTATATTGTCGTATATCTGTCGTCGTTCAGTCGTTCAGAGCCGTTCGCACGTTCACGGTTCACCATTCTTCATTTTAAGCTTTTATTACAATGTTCATTACACACTTTCACGCGTTTCTGATCGATGAATTCTCTTAAAATCAACTTGAACAAAGTTTTGAAAAGCCATTTTTTAATTTAACATTACTTTCGTATTATAGAATAGAAATATTATTTCGAGTAAGTATATGGTGAATGTTTTCATGTGATGAATACAGTTTTCTATACATGGCTATAAACGATTTTAAAGAAATAAGATAATAAAAAACTTGAACAAACTTTAAACTTATGTTGACATACATAATTATGCTATAAAAACCAGCTGAGTGATGACCTAGTTGATGACCATCGAATTTACATGACAATTCCCATGTTATTGCTTCCCCTTTCGGTCAAATCAAAACTTGTGATTGTATCATCGTAATATGGCAAGAACGGAATAAATTTAGAAAACTTTGACTTATTGAAAATGCCAAATGGTAGATCGTAAACATGAATGGATGCCACATTCGATGTCGTTCGATCAGCAGTGAGCTTGCGCCATTTTTTTATTCCTCTTTCTTCAGCAGTTCCTGGAATGAGGTTGTCTAGGAGGCAAGCAAGTATACCACCAACAGCCATACTTGTCTTCAATAAGACTGTGAATATTTGATCCAACTCATCAACACCTTTCATATAAAAAAATTAAAATATTTGAACCTTTTTTGGCACACATTGCACAAAGTATAGTGGAATATAGGAAATTGGCAAATTTCAAATGTTTAGCTAATCCAAAGCACAATATGACATTTTTTGACCGTCGAAAAAGTAAAAAATATATCTGCAAGTTAACTATGGGAAATTAGCTAACAAACTTCACATAAACCTGATACTTATGGCAATCTTACCTGTATCAATGACACCCGCATTCTTATTAAGATAATCTGGTATCACCAAGCCCATAATAATTGCAAAGCCAATAATAAAAAGATTGCGCACGGAATTCAAATCAACAAATTGCAAATTAGATATTCCAACGGCAGTTATAAGACCAAACATAACACAAAAGATTCCACCGATGACAGGATCAGGAATGGTAGAGAACAAAGCTCCAAATTTTCCAATTAATGCAAGTATAATCATAAGAATTGCACCACATTGAACAACTCGTCTACTGCCAACCTAAAATATGTAATAACATTAATAATATAAAATAATAAACAAATAACATTTCCTACACAATTACATTAATATCTAAATAACACAAAACTTTCTCTGAATATCAATTGCATAAAGCCAAAAACATGAAAAAATAAAATCCACCTTTGTAATGCCCAGGGCTCCAATGTTTTCACTAAAAGAAGTTGTTGCATTTCCAGTACCAATTGCCCCTGCAAGTAAACATGCAACACCTTCGACACCAATGCCGCGGTTTATTGCGTGTGGTGGTGGCGGTGGTGCTCCAGACAGTCGTGCGCATGCGTAATAGTCTCCAACAGATTCAATCACTCCTGCAATCACTCCTGCAAGCATTCCAAATACACCAGCTAAACTGATTGTAGGAGTTCCCCATTGACCTAAAAGATAATTGTTCACACGTGTAAGTTAGAACTTGAGAAATCCCTGAGACCTTTCACTTATTTATTCACTAACAGCTTCGTTTGAACAAGTATCAAAAAAAGTCACATATACCGGGATATGGGACTCTAAACCAAGGAGACTGTGAAAGTACAGATGATCTTGAGTCGGTTCGGGCTTTTGAAGTTGCAGAGAAAACATCTGTCTCGGTCAAGATGGCACAAAATATCCAGCTCACAATAATTGCAATAACAACCTTTAAAATAAAGTTGAATGGCTAACTTATGAATGATAAGCGGATAATTATTGATTAAATTAATAATTAATGGCCAATTAAAGGACCATTTTTTATTGTCAAGTCAACTTGGTTGAGTAAAATTCATATTCCTTAATTTAGTCACAATGAAACACTCACGGGAAACAATCCAAATATAGCAACACCCGTTGTATGAAAACCTTTAAGTCTGGAGTACGTGGGTATAGGAATCTTCACCCGAGGTAGAAACTGAGAGCAAATTACGATAACAGCAATTGTTCTAGAAATGGAAAATTATTAAAGCAAGTTTGAAAAAGAAGCATGATCCAAATTTTTTTAAACGAATCAAAGCATTGACCGTGAAATAATTGTACACGTTAAAATTTTTAAATTGATATCTTTTTGATCACGTTAATGACATTCATACCAAGACGAATTTGGAGATACGTTTAAAAAAACAGGACTTTAGGCTTTACATTTGTTTGTCATGACATTTACTTTATGATTCAGGAAAGGGGTTTTAGACAATGTCCCATTTACTGTTTGCAAAGCAGCTCATGCAACTGAAGTGTCTACTCTAATCTATTGTAAATTTGAGTAACTATACTATTACTGGTGTTACCATTCCATCATTCTATTATCAAGATCCATCTTTATAAATGAGAACTTTTGAAAAAACTATTGGTTTAGTGTGAGTAAAGTAAAGGTAAAACTCTTATTGGCTACCATATCAGCAAAATTTAAATAATCTGGAATGACGTTGATTGACTGATAACTTGAGATTCTAGTGACCAAAAAGGAGTCCAAAAACGAGCCTTTTATTGGTCAATGGCTAGATCAGAAAATTTGTAACAAGAGAAAGCTGCTAGTCTGATGCACTACCGAGTTCTCATAAAAACATTTTTGTTGCTTATGACGTCATCGATGAGGCAATATTTGTTTTACATGCTGCGAAATATTGCTAATGTGCTCACGAAATTTCCTGGATCCGATTCTGATTAACTAACACGTAACAATAATAAATTGATTGGAAATATATCTTATACATTGATCTGTTTAAAAACTTCTGTATTTTGTAACTTCTGTATTTTGAGTGTTCTGCTATTTTTCAGACCTCCTGTATTGTATCTTTAGACTACTTACAGTGACAGAGTATCTCGTGTTCTTTTCACTGAACTATGTATCCCCCACCAATTCAGTGATGTATTACATAAAGTGAATTTTTTGAAAGAAATGAATGCATATTGCATACTTACAAGACTGTAATCCCCCAATGAGTACCTAGATAGAAAAAAATAAGTTATGTAGAAAAAAATATTCAACACACATTCAATTGTCCCCCCCCCCTGGTTGATGTTTACGAAGTTGACAAAAACAAGCCTTACATAGATTAGCAACCTGAGGCAATAAAAATCAAACTCTGGTACGTTCAGTGAAATTTAAGATTACGTGTGTCTAAAGTGCATTTTTAAGTTGTTTTATTATATGGCAAGGCTCACTTCCGGCAAAATGGGTTTAAAATGTTATTACAAAGATAATATATCCTAAAAAATTAGAAAAATCGAATGCTGTACACAAAGGTTCTTTTTCATTATGCATACTCAAAACTTATAAATTTTTTCAGAATTCGTGCAAATTTACTAAATTGCCGTCTATATTATTATACAGAATCAGTGCAAATAAGTGCTTGCAATTTTAAATAACTGCATTGACAAATTTATGCAAATGTGCCTTATTATATGTTCCACAAATTTGCAGGCGTACAATTTTTTTCTTCTAACAGAATGGCTATAATCATGTACTATAAAAATGTATGCAGCACTTAAGAAATAATAGATGTTTACTGTGTTTGCACGGGCTTATACAAACCGAGGAGACCTTTGAGAGAACTCGAGAGCAGATCAGTGCAAGCCCGAGACCGAAGGTCGAGGGTTGCACATGCTCAAGAGTTCTGGAAAACGTCTTCGAGGATTGCATAAGCCAGTGCAAACACGAGAAACATCTTTCATTTCTTTTATAAAATAACAATAATGGGAATAAGACAAACGTTTCAATTTTTCCCCTAAAATGTATCTATCATGTATCTATCATGATCAATTTGGAAATTCTCTTTGACTGACTGATTGCTTTTATTAATTTGATTGGTTGAGCTCAGATTTGTTTTGCACAGGCTAATGCAAACACGGCTCTAGACCAATCACCGCACACATTTTATTGTTTTTATTTTATAATTAGCATTAAAACAGAAAACTGTTCGAGACAATAAGACGTTGGCGACCAATCAACAAACTTTCACACATTAGAGATCAGTAATGTCATGGCGTATAAACATTAAATGATTTTTCTATCTAGCTATAGTTCATAGTTCATAGTTCATATACCTGCATAGTTAGAGCAAACTGGAAACAATGACAAGCCAACCAATGCAATTGTCGGTGCAACTGTTATAGGACCGATAAAACGCAAAAGAAAACCGATCAGTCCGGTAAAGCCAATAAAGATTTGAAATAAAGACGATATCATGACAGCCCCTTGAACCTAAAACCAAATAACAAAAGATTTTCATGTGTTCATAAACGTCTAATACCTTTGTTAGATTCATTGTAAAAATGCCCAGAGTAAAAAATCCACCCAAACTGAACAAAATAAAATTTTGTTTAAGCAAAGAAAGAAATGTTTTCGTAATTGGGTACAAACAAACTGAAATGGAAAGAAATGACATGAACTGAATAAAATTGACTCTATCCATTCCAATGAAAGAGAACACAATAAAACATAAATATAAACGAGCTCTTTTCACATTTGCAGAAGCAATTTCATGCTCCATGCATTCAAAGGGTGTAGCCTGCTATTTACTCTTTTTTTAACGCGCAAATTATTTTTTGTTTAATAATTGATGATGATAATGTTTTAAAAATTTTCATGGTAGAACTAAAGCGTAGATTCTATCTACGCGACTAAGGTGTAATGACAGGGGAAAAACATTCAACACATTACGAATTAGGAATGTTTATAAAAGTTTAAATAATTTGACACATAAATGTTAAGACCAAAGTTGAAATGGCAGTTCGTTGCAGTTGCCTCATGTGCAGGAAATTGAAACAAAGTTGTACAATATTTTGGGATTTCGTAAATGATCCAATGAGCGTTTGTACCTAATAAATGTACGACCTTTTGTCTTGAATTATCTATGAATAAGACTGTACCAGAGAAGTTAGTCTACTACTCGCGTCATGCTTGAATTCCCTCCTTAAGATTACATTTAAAAAACATTTGACGAAATTTTTTCAGACGGAAATGACTCTCTCTCTCTCTCTCATGAAATACCTCTCGCATACGAATTTTCCAAACTTCGTCTAAGTCCAAGGTAGTGTTGCTGTCTATGAAATTAAACACATTATACGTTATGTAATGTTAGTATTTCACAATCTATGTTGTAGATTATGTCATATGTTGCATTCTTATGTCACATTACGTCACGCGTCAAACTGTGTTTTCAACATCAATGTAAGTTTTTTAATCAAAGTACGTTTTCTTACTGGAAAATTAGTTGCTAAAAAGACAAACAACGTAACAGTGGGCATTAAATGACAGCCACGTTTGAAAACAGAAGAAAGCACGTCCAGAAAAGAAAGATTAGCTAGTCAAAACTTCAACTTTACATTGAATGCTATAGTGACGTATGATATTCAATTCAGTTCACAATTCCAGTTAAAAGCGGTGTACAAACCTTTTAATCCTGGAGGACACTTAAATTTAGGCAGGGACAGAAGAGCAAAAGTTGGTACCAGGTAGGAGAATGTACTGCCTTGAACTATTGGAAGCCTAAAAAATTTTGTTAGGTTTATTATGTGATTTAAAGTAAAACATTGCAAAGGTATAGCGGACCGAACAAATCATATGAGCCTAATAGAGAATAATTTTCAGTAAAAATAACAATTAAATTCGTATAAAATAAAACAGAGCCAAATGTCAAAAAGATTTGTAAAGACATAAAGCAATGTTTTGTTGAAAGCTACATTTCGTTTTTACCCTCGGTAAATATTGCAATTTTGATTAAAGCTGCTCTGCATTGCATCCATAATGCAAAATCAGCCTTACACAGGTGATTAAAAGACAATGGTTTTAGAAAATTGATTTCAGTGATTAGATAAACTAACTACGTATATTAAAATACCATGGGCGATTACATTTAAATAGACATTTTGAACGCAAAAAAGATGTGTTTTATACAGGAACGACTAATCAACTATTTACGTAAGACTGTAAGAGAAGGGGCATTGCAGAAAAGGGCTAGGTTAAGTTATGCGTGTTTATATAGAATATGGGCTTGTCTTATGAAGACAAAACTGAGTACGCTCACAAAAATTGGTTCATGTAAAAAAATATTGTCAAGGAAACGATGTTGACATCACATAACATTCTGGCTGTCAAAGTTAAGAAAGCTAGACTGATTGAGATAAAGTAAAATGGAAGGTGTGAAACCACGCAAGCAATAAGGATGATACTGTGGGGGTTGGAAAAAAAATCAATGCCTGCTGTTCTCTGTGTATAAACATGTTTATGTACAAATTTTCACTGCTATGTTATATTTCTTGATCAGTTTATATTTGACATATGATTAAATATGAAATGCTACTTTCATTAGAGCATTTACGTACAAAAGTATTAATATGATAATGTCTTTTTAGCAACAATTAGTTTCTAAACGAATCTGTTTCGGTTTATTCATCCTAGATAGTCCAAAATCTTAAACAAGAATCGCTACAGTGAAATTAGTGGGTTTAATTTAAATGACGTTTTTTACTAAATAATGAGTCCCGACTTTTATTATGCATAATTGTACTTATTTCAAAGTCTTGAAGTGAACTATGTAGGTATGCATTTATCTATGTTATTTTCAGTACTTTGTTGTTACAAATACTTTTTTCACAACTATGATTCTGGATTTGTACTCAAGGAGATTTAATACCCATTGTTACCTGTTACCAAAAGTTGTTTGTAAAAGAGTGGCTATACCACACGTGAAGAATATGGTAGATATCAGCTTTCCGACAACCAGATCATCCGTAACACATAATGCTGGTGCAATGATGATTGGAACCGATAATGTTGCTCCAAACATTGTAAGATAGTGCTGCCAGATAAAAAAAAAACCAACAAATTTATGCACTGGTTTGATTCGGGAATGTAATGTGTAGCATTGAAAAGCCACATAATTTTGATGTTGAACACTACATTAAGTTATTGAAAAAAAAATCACAAAGCACTAACTCTTTTGTAATCACGTGTCAAAAAGATGACGTATTTACCTCTGCCAGCAGAAACTTTGGGTGGATAACTTCAAGTTTGGCAGCAAAGCCCAAAAGTATATAATAGCTGGATTGACAACTGAGTAACTTTATATATGTAACAGAACAATTGATAACAGCATGCATATTTCGATTGCTCAGTTTACCTGAAATCCCAACAACAAAGCAAGATACCATGGCGGTGTTTCATCAATTCTATAGTTCAATGTAATAGCATCAACATCTGACGTGCTGCTTTCTTCTTTATGTTCATCTTTTGTCGTCATTTTGAATTTCTTTTCTTCGATCCTTAGTAAAGAAAAGACGTCAAAAACGTTTTTCATAGATTACGCTTTTTTATTTGGGTAATTGAGATCGAACGCAACTAAAAAAGCGATTAATATTATTCACTATGCAACCACAGATCAATTTATGTAGCTATAAAAATAAAGTTTGTTCAATTTGTCGGCAAGGATTGTCGTTTTAATGGACTATCGATCGAAGCGTTTTTTTATCAACTTTTTTTACCAGACAAGTGGGATTTACGATGAACTGTGTACGAAACGTCAATTAAATTATTGGATTACAACCGACCTCTAAGGAATTATTGAACAATGTGGCCTTTAATAAAAGCATTAATAAAATTTTCTTTTATATTTGACCGCCAATATGGCAGCTATGACGTAACATGAAATCCACTAATAGTTGCACCTTAGGACTCTTTTTTCTTAGCCTATGACAGTGTTTAAAATAAATGTTTTAAAAATCGTTGCCGAGATTAATTTTCTTCCTTCGAATACATCAGTGTTTTTCATGATTTTGCGATACTAATGACCTGGAAATAATATTTTTCAGTCCAACTACAGTAGGAATTCTTTGTTGAAATTTTTTGTGTGTCGCATGTCTAAAAAATTACTTGTGAGATTATAAGCAAACCGCAGCCGGTAAATTAATTGAATATAGATTATAATTTAGTACATTCCAACATTCTTTTTCCTCGTATTCATAGCACAAAATCATTGGAAATAGAAGAAAAAGTTTCACCCAAAGATGAAGTAAATAATACCAAAAATTAGAAAGAAAAAACAACTAAAAGTATTCAAAAAAGAGCCACTACAATTTGACTTATTATTCATGCGCATACGGTGAATGTGTAATATTTGCCAGAAAAGATGTGAGAGGATAGTTAAAGTTAAATTAGTGTTACTTAAATACTAATTTAAGCAGAAGTACGAATATCATTGCTTGCAAGTTGTAACCAATCATTTGAAAATGGATTTCATGGTCAATTGCCCCTAACAATTAATAATTTTCTAATCTTCCGCAGCTATAATAATAAAATTCACTAGAGTGAGCATGTGTTTATCATTTCAATAGTTAAAAACTTGGTATTTTCTATAATCGTGCTCATGACCACTTGGATTTAACGATCAATAATTGATCAGTGTTAAAGTGCCAGCCACGCTTTATTACGCAGCACAAATTTTTATCGAGAAAAATAACGAATAGTGAATTGGTCCATCATTGACTTACCGTTCTAACAAGAACGAGTTTGCCAGTAGGATTTGTTACGCGCTTGTTTAGTCGAGTTCAGACGCTCTTCTCTCACTCTATCGGGAAAGTGACAATCCCCAATAAATACTTAACTGCATTCTTGTATTTCCGTTTCTGAATGCACGAGTGATTTTTAGTTGAAGAGACTTGCCGAGCGGGTAAAGTGGAACAGCAACAACATATAGTGGAAAATTGTTAACTATATCATATAAATCTATTTTTACAGTTTTCCACTTTTCGATTTACAAACTTTGTGGCTCTAATACCATGTTGAGCAGTAATGTTATATTTGTTGTAAGAATTTGACTTACAACTATATAAAACTGATTCTAACCAAATTGTAAAGTTTTTCTGATTCTCTCAAATTTATCGATTTCAGAAGTTTGTCACTTTTCAAAGTTCGGTTGCATTCAATATTGGAAATTACACTTTCAAAGGTAAAATATAAATTAGTTTGTAAAATATAAATTGTTTTATAGTACAGAGTGTTCAAAAAAGTTTTTAAGGAATTAAAGTATTGTGATAATTTCAATGTGTATCATTATGCTAAGCCACGGGTGCATAAAGTATTGTGGATTGTCAGCTATGTGCATATATTACATATTTCTGGCAGGGCCGCGTTTAAACCTCGGGGCCCCAAATTATTGCCTCTATAGCGACCTAAAATTGCAGTTAGAAGATGAATGTAAGTGACTGAGTTCAAATCAGCGATTTGCACAGACTAAAGCAGTTAAATAGAAAAGGAAAAGTTCATTTCCTTTGATATACAAAAATATAATCGTAAAACACAACATGAGATGCATGATAACATATCAAAAGTTCAATTCAGAATTTTTTGATACACTCAGTGTATAGCGTTATTTACTTTTAGCCTAAATCGTAGGGCCTATAAAACATGCAGGACCCGTGGAATTTGCCGCATTTGCCCCAATGTAAACTCGGCACTTATTTCTGCTCTTGAGAATTTAACATTACTTCTAACAGCTAAACATGCACGACAGTGTACACGCGCGTTTACCATGGTGATCACGAATAGAAAAATTTCATATTAGGATAACTTCTATGTCTTCTTTTCTTATACACCCTGTATATTTAACGATCGAGTGGATTAATTTAACTAATCCATTTAAATTTCGATGCCAGAACACATTACTAATAACATGCTTGTAGCCTTATAGGTTGCATATGTTATCATCGATTTGGCTACGATGCTGGTGGACTATTTAACCGGCTAAATCCATAATCAACACACTTATTAAAATATTATAAACTTCGGCTAAATCAAATGTCTTAAATGACAAGAAATATCACAAGTTATCATTTTTGTTCTATATTTATCACCTAGTCACTTGTCTTCGTTCATCAGTAATATAACCGACTAGTTTCATCCACCATGCCACTTAACACACAGATGTTGTGCATAGAAACACGAATGTACAGGAAAATAAACAAAACAGCTGAGACCAAATTGAATTGAATTGGTTTAATTTAGTGTTCATGAATGAGCAGGAACAAGCTCAGTTGAGAAGCTGTATTATTCTAGAATCATGTAACTTCTGTGGCATGTTATTTGGAGAAAAAGTAAAGGTGACGCGGATCTTTAAATAATATAATAAACTGGACGTCTTCAAAGCAAGGAAAATTTATTGAACATATATATTAACAAACATAACACACACAAATTATACCTGTCTTTAACAAAATGGGCACGCTTCTTCAAAACTTCGAATGATGCAACTAGTGGCGGTTTAGGGTACGTCAAAATAAATTACTGCAGCTCGTTTTGGCATGTATTTACATTTCTAAGCACCTTAGAGGCAAATCTATGGGTAAAGTGATATTCTTTAGAAATTCAAAACCATTCTGAAACTACTTTGAATTTAAAATTGGCAGCTATGATTTATTTTGACGAACGCTGGATCCGCTACTGGATGCAATGGAAATTAGGTGTTTACCATTGTCTGTTATTAATTCTTTGATCTTATGTTTGATGTTTGGTGCTTGAGTTTCCAAGAAGATCAGGTGCTATTTTGTGGTAAACTTCGAAGAAATACCCCTGTACGTACTTTGTACCAGAAATGTAGAGAAAATATCATTACTGCGTAATTTGATACATGCAAATTTAAAATATAAGCAGTCAACCAAATGTAATAATTTCAAGGAACAACATATGCAGGGTCAGTGTTGCACGTACAAATTAATGAGGAATACTACAAATTCACTCGGAACACTAATGATCAGCATGTTCTAGTTTCTTCCCCATCAAGTAATCTTACTCTGGTAATTTTTATGAGATGCCACATCCTTTGTCCACCCAATTTATGTTTGCGGGGAAGTTTCTTAAAAATGTTTTATAAAACTGAATATTTTGGGAAGTTGGGCCAGCCTAATTCATCACTTGCTGTCGACTGTCCAATATATGACAAAGCAAACTTGTTGTTTACATAATGTAGTCAATTCCAGCCATTTTTGCTGCAAAAAATTCAAAAAATTTACACTAGAAAACACTTACAAAAGCAAAAATAGTATATCGCCATTTACACCAATACTAATATACTTTCTGTGTGAAAATTCACATTTAAGATTTATTACTTCCCATCTTTTGCTCGTAAGGTCCTCTACACTGAACGTCTAAGTTTTCCACAGCACGGGAATAGTATCAAACAGGCCTTGAACATCTAAATCACGCTCCATTGTCTAATTTTTTACCAGATTCTGTTTGACTTGTCAAAGAAATATTATATATACCCATCAAGTAAACTTAGCATCAACTGTGATTTTTCTTTATGGCGAAGCCAGGCCGATTGTTTAGTCCTGCTAAGTAAATTTTGATGTGTTTACTCACTGAAAAAAACAAGAGATTTTCTAGTAAAGAAATGAATAATGATGATGATATGAAATTTGCATAAGATGGTATCTAACCGAAATGACTTGTTGAAAGTAAATGAAACGCTCGAGCAGCCAGACATTTAACAACAACGACTATTTTTCAAAACTTTACGTTAATAGACAAAACCCATTTTTATTATATGTAAAATAGAAATCATTCATTGATTCAATACTAAAAATTGTGTTCGCCACACTTATTCAAATAACTTCTATTTACTCACAAATACAAAATCAATACATTGCAAAAGCTGCTGTTACCTGATACCAAAAGTTGTCTGTAATAGTCTTTTCATGGAAAATATGGTAGATATCAGCTTTCTAACAGCCACCAATCATTAACACTGGTACAATGATGATTCGAACCGCTAAAATTGCTCCAAACATTGTCAAGTAGTGATGCCAAATGAAAGCACAAATAAACTTTACGTGGTTGACATCAGGAATGTATAATGTATGATATCGTGAAGCTCTGTGTTACTTTGGTGCGGCCCTCTAGAGATTTATCATTAAAATAGAAATTACTATTACTGCAACAAGAAATAGGAGCATTTATTTTGTGACTGTCCCGTTTACCTGAAATGGGAGAAATCTCAGAAACAAATCATGTCCGCAAATTATGCAAATAAATAAAACATTTTTTCACATTTCGAATTATATTGTTGAAATGTGGTGTTTTTAATTATCAGATATTTAGTTAGGAGCAATGAATTGGTCATTGTAAAAGCCAAGGCTTTATAGTTCTTGGAGATAATGTTTCATGAATCAAATTACACACATAGACGACAAGATGTCAAAAGTTCGCGACGTGAAATTTGTGTCAGCGATATGGGCTGAGAACATTTTCAACATATGAAATCGAAAAACGTCAATTTCGGTGCTAATCTTGTTAGAAAATATTCAGAATAAGGCAGAATGGCGTTTAAAAACACGTGTTATTCAATCACAGCTCGACAGACGCAGTTGATAGTATTACAAATTTAACATTGAAGATGTCGTGGACTCCGTCAAATCAAATTTTATACAATCTGTTCTTTTTCTCATTCTACGCTGGGTATACACCTTTTGTGATGTTTCGTCCTGTCTATTTCAAATACATCGGACTTCCTCCAATATGGGTAGGACTAACATGTGGCTTACGTTTCATATTGCAAACTACCATCACGCCGCTATTAATTATTATTGCAGAAAAGTTTTCCTCGCGTAAGCTTATGTTTGTCCTGTCGTACATAGCTCTTATTGGAAAGTTGATGATTATATTTCTGGTTCTTCAACCAAAGCAGGAGACATGCGTTGTGAAACATGTTGATAAACACAAAGCGAAAACCTTTCGTACACATCACGTGCTCTTCAAACGTGAAAGTATGAATCTCAAGGAAGTTAATGATGGACATATTACGTTAAACAACTCTTCCACATACAAATTTTTTCACCTAAATTCTTCTACTGACAATTTAACATCACACAAAAGGATTTTTCGTAAGCAATTTAATGACATAATGAATTTCCCAATCCATAATATCAACGCGAATAACAGACTTTGGGATATTGATCCAAAGAGTCGTTCCAGCGAATCCAAAAACGTAACACACTCTGAAGTTTACACTGAAAACATCATATACAGCAATGAAAAGGAACTTTTCAGAATATTTATTTGTTTGTTAGTGTTAGTTGTCATTAGTGATGCATTTGATGCAACAATGTTCACTTTGGTAGAAGATTCTTGCTTGGCTACAAAAGATATTGAACATTACAGGCAGGGACAGACTTTTGGAACCGTAGGATGGGGAATAATTTGCCCGTGCATTGGTATAATCTTATACATTTTTAACCAAAAAATCTGTGGAATGTATATTGGATCATTTCATTACGTTTTCTATTTTGTATTTGGATTTTTGACTATTGCCTTTTTGTGTGGCATGTGTCTTGAGTATCCCTCACACTGCAAGGATGTTGTTTCGAAAAAGGTGCAAAACCCAAGTTCGAACTTTCAATATAGTCTGTTTAATTTTGCAATTTCCTATTCTGGCTTTTGCAACGGATTTTTATTGACGTTCACTTATTGGTTCATCGATAGTCTGAGTGGTAGTGCAGTGATGATGGGGTTGACAACTGCTGGTCGCGCGGTAGTAAATATACTCATTGATATTGTACTAGTTAAAGTCATTGGATTTACAGGACATCAAATAGTAGTGGACATTGTTCTTGTATGTCATATCATAACATTTGTTATCTATTGGTCTATGAAGTGGCCGTTTCTTGTTATATTGGCAGAAATATTTCATGCAACAGCTCACATTACAATCATTCAAACATGTGCTTCATTTTTGTCGAAAAATACTCCAACTGGATCCAGTCCCAAGATGCAAGGTAAGAAATTTTGCGCAGAACCTTAAACTAGGAAACTTTTGTCGTAATTTGAATAAATGACATGCTTTAAATTTCTATCCGACTTTGTCAAACCAAGGTCAAAGTCCAAAAATAATCATGATGAATAAGGAACGAGTATTTTTTTAAAACATGTTGCTTACAAGTTTACCGGTTAGAAAAATAATTATGAACTGCAGCTCTGCAACAACGAAACAGGCCCGTTTCATATACGTCAAACAATTCATACGTCAAATGAATTAAGACAAAAAATAAAGGTTTAGATTCCTCAATATCTTTTTTTTAATGCACTTGACATAGATAATTTCGAAACTGAGCAACACCACAGGCAACTCTTACCCAAACAGCGAATTCTTTGTGTATTTTCAGCAATCCTACAAGGAGTGTACTGGGGATTGGGAACAGGATGTGGCTCAATATTCGGTGGATATTATCTTGAATATTCTGGATTCAAGAAAACATTTTTGGTGTTTGCAGTGATCACTAGCATGGTGTGCATCGTTTTCCTCTTCTTGCAGATTTTACTATTTCTCATCAAACCAGAAGTTACGTTAGATGATATGTGGTCAGTCTGGTCTAGTAACAGTAATTACACAAGCGAATACGAAGGTTCCTCTGAAGAATCTGACGATTATTAATTAATAGTTATTTTCATATTATTGGATAAAAACATTAATGTTGGAAGGTATGATGACTACTATCTTGCGGTGTTCTAAAAAACATCAAAAATTCAAAAGAATGAAAATAAAATGAATCCAGTAATAAAAATGGATTTTTTTTTCATTTTCATCTAATTTTTATCATTGAATACACCGATTTCCAGGAACAGTTATCGTGCATAACAAACAAACGGACTTATGAAGGAATCTCCAGGCTATAGCTTCCTCTCTCAGCCATATTAAAAACTTCTGTTTCATCATCGTAATATGGCAAGAACGGAATAAATTTAGAAAACTTTGACTTATTGAAAATGCCAAATGGTAGATCGTAAACATGAATGGATGCAACATTCGATGTCGCTCGATCAGCAGTGAGTTTGCGCCATTCTTTTATTCCTCTTTCTTCGACAGTTCCTGGAATGAGGTTGTCTAGGAGACAAGCAATTGTTCCACCAACAGCCATACTTGTCTTCAATAATACTGTGAATATTTGATCCAACTCATCAACACCTTTGAAATATATGGGAATTTGAAAATTAGAAACTTTTTTAAATATTGAAAGATAGCTTAATAATATGAAATTAAGATCTTCAATATATTGCACCTACAACAGCAATCTCTCAAAATTTAATGCGCAAACATAAAATAGTTAGCTACTTAGAAACAACAACACTTTTAGCATACGACAGATTAGGACAAGCGTTATGCAACACAGACAAATGGATTGACATGTATAGAAGCTAAACATGTTGAAGTATGTAGCTGGAAAATTTCAGGAAAAACCTGACACTTATGGCAGTCTTACCCGTATTGATGACACCCGCATTCTTATTAAGATAATCTGGTATCACCAAACCCATAACAATTGCAAAACCAATAATAAAAAGATTGCGCACGGAATTCAAATCAACAAATTGCAAATTAGATATTCCAACGGCAGTTATAAGACCAAACATAACACAAAAGATTCCACCGATGACAGGATCAGGAATAGTAGAAAAAAAAGCGCCAAATTTTCCAAATAATGCAAGTATAATCATAAGAATTGCACCACATTGAACAACTCGTCTACTGCCAACCTAAAATATGTAATAATATAAAATGATAAACAAATAACATTTCATAATTACATTAATATCTAAATAGCACAAAACTTTCACTGAATGTCTATCGCATAAACATGAAAAAATAAAATCCACCTTAGTAATGCCCAGGGCTCCAATGTTTTCACTAAAAGAAGTTGTTGCATTTCCAGTACCAATTGCCCCTGCAAGTAAACATGCAACACCTTCGACACCAATGCCGCGGTTTATTGCGTGCGGTGGTGGTGGCGGTGCTCCAGACAGTCGTGCGCATGCGTAATAGTCTCCAACAGATTCAATCACTCCTGCAATCACTCCTGCAAGCATTCCAAATACACCAGCTAAACTGATTGTAGGAGTTCCCCATTGACCTAAAAGATAATTTTTCACACGTTTAATTTTGAACTTGAGAAATCCCTGAGACCTTTCACTTATTTATTCACTAACAGTTTCGTTTGAACAAGTATCAAAAAAAGTCACATATACCGGGATATGGGACTCTAAACCAAGGAGACTGTGAAAGTACAGATGATCTTGAGTCGGTTCGGGCTTTTGAAGTTGCAGAGAAAACATCTGTTTCGGTGAAGATGGCACAAAATATCCAGCTCACAATAATTGCAATAACAACCTTAAAATTAAGTTGAATGGCTAACTTATGAATGTTAAGCTGATAATTATATTGATTAAATGAATAATTGATGGCTAATTAAATGACCATTTTTTATTGTCAAGTCAACTTGGTTGAGTAAAATTCATATTCCTTAATTTAGTCACGATGAAACACTCACGGGAAACAATCCAAATATAGCAACACCCGTTGTATGAAAACCTTTAAGTCTGGAGTACGTGGGTAAAGGAATCTTTATCCGAGATAGAAACTGAGAGCAAATTGTTATAACAGCAATTGTTCTAGAAATAAAAAAATTATTTTGTGAAGTTGGAAGAAGAAATATGATTCCAAATTTCGTTACGTGAATCAAAATATCGACCGTGAATTAATTATCCATGTTGTAAAATTATTAATTTCATATCCGTTTCTAAATACAGCAAAACAAGTTATGAAAAGAGGCGAACCAAAATTTTCACCGCGCTCCAGAACACCGGTGATAACTGTTGATCTTTCCTGACTTAAATTAATTATTTTACTACGGCCATATTGTATTATATATCAAATCTAAGTACTTTATAACTACTCATATTTGTCTAAAGTCTTCTCTTTATTCTTTGTATAGAGCTGAAATGAAACCCGCGACTCTTAAAGTGAAGCTGAAATGAAACCCCCCACTCTTAAAGTGGAGCTAAAATGAAACAGATTTTTATCTGTTAGCAAATATTTTAAACTTTCCGGATCTTCCTACAGTATTTTGTAACCTTTTCTGGTGTTTTTATCAAAATTGAAGAACAGGAACGCAAGTATATTTTGCCTCAAACTTGGTAGTTTGGGATTTTGCCTCAAATTTGGTAATTTGGAATTTTGCCTCTAATACTTACATGATTGCAATTCCCCAATGTTTAGCTAGACAGAAAAAAATTTAAAAAGAGATTTTTAAAAAATAATTTAGAAAATAACTTTTAAATCAATGCATTAATCAGAATTGATTAGTTCATATACCTGCATAGTCAGAGCAGACAGGGAATAATGCCAAGCCAACTAGTGCAATTGTGGGTGCAACTGTTATAGGACCAATAAAACGCAAAAGAAAACCGATCAGTCCGGTAAAGCCAATAAGGATTTGAAACAAAGACGATACCATGATAGCCCCTTGAACCTAAAACCAAATATAACAACTTAGTTTCTCATCTTATACCTTTGTAGGCTTTGTTTGATTCATTGTAAAAATGTCCGCTACTCAAAAAACGGAAGAAAATACAATTTCATTATAGCAAAATTCGATGTGCTTCATTAGCCTACTGGGTAAAAGTACTTAATAAATTGGAAAAGAATGATGTGAACAACTGATTCGACCGAATGATATAGAATACAAAATACAATAGATAAATGTATGGCCAATTTGAAAAGACCATGGGATATAGAGATGTTTTGGATGCTCGTTTATTCATCCTTCGTGCAGAATTTTCCAGGTTTCCAGGCCGGGCATCCAGAAAAATGTGCATACAACATGGATTCAATCACTAATATTGTGAAACATATAGCTTCTTCGTTTGATATCATAACATCTACATCAAGTTTTTCAGCAACTGTTTAGATTTTTAAAGTTGAGATAATCAGATAAATCTTTTCGACAAAGATACAATATTCATACTGTCACAATTTCTGACTGACTCGTTTTCGTTAATCAGTAATGATTATGTAGCTCTTACTCAGTGTGCGAATTAACGGTGTGCAATGTGCAATTTGCACATCGTTTTAGCTAAAATGAAAACAACTGTACATCACCTTTTCAAACGATGTGCAAAAATCAGCGGTTTTAACGAAAAACACTGTCGTAAATCATATGAATTTGTGCACGTTTAAAAATATTAATTTAGCAATTAGCGCTATATAATAATTAACGTAATATCGATTTGATTATGCCTATAAAGAAACACTTTTGTCAAAAAAATTGCACATCGTTTTTTCTGAGCTAATTCGCACACTGCTCTTACTTATTTGGTAATGTAAAATAAACCATGCATATTGCATGTTTTAAATTCTTTGCAGTTCACGAATAAAAACGAGAAGCGAAAATTTACTTGTTAAGAACATTAAGTATTATGCCATATTATTTTCATTTATTATTTTGAGCCTTGCGTCAACTTTGATTGTCAAAAATAGTTTAATCTGTTTTTCATTGACCATTTTTTATAGAAAGTAAAAAAGATTACTTCAACTACCTAAAATTCCTTTTTTGTTGAATAATTTATTAGATAAACTTTGCCAAAAAATTTTGCAGTCAGTATTAACTGAATCATGCTCATATTGGTCTTACACGAATAAGAACTATCTGATTATACATGCTCAATATTCAAAACAGCTACCTCTCGCATTCGAATTTGCCAAATCTCGTCTGAGTTCGAGGTACTGTTCTCTGTATTGTTGGTGTCTATAAAAGCATGATTTTATACCAATTATATATCGCTATATATATTGTTAAAGTAGCTATAATAAGTTGATAACCATAATACGTCCTAATTCGTTCATAACATTCATTTGACATATCATCAAAGAGCGTTCTCAACTTTTTATTATTGTTGAGAAATTCTTCATGTCTTAACTTTATGCATGATCATTTCAGTGGTCCAAAAAAGCATCTTTACTATCAAAGAAATTAATTTTTGCGCTGCAGTAAATCTTTACAATAGAGAATATATTTAGGCGTAGGATATTTAAATCAATTCACAATTCCAGTTATAGGTTGTATACAAACCTTTTAATCCAGGACACTGAAATTTAGGTTGGGACAGAAGAGCAAAAGTTGGTACAAGGTAGGAGAATGTAATGCCTTGAACTATTGGAAGCCTAAAAAATTTTGTTTGCTATTTTACATCAAATGATAATATGCTATAACTCTAGAATACTTCAGGTTGAACGAATAACATGTAATTTGTACCAAGAAACAAAGCTGCTAATATTGAAATCAGAAATTTAGATATAATATTGAACGTTACAGCTGCCATAAGAGCAAATGGGTGCATACTGTTATTATGATTACTATATATATTTGCACAAATCACAAATTACAACTTTATACAAAAGTATAATATATCTTAAATAGTATAGGATCTAGAGTATTCACACTGGGGGAGCCCCTGATTTACCAATTGAACCAATTATTTTTCGTGCTGATGAACTAAGACACCATTCATTGGTGATATCTTGGTGGAAATAAACGAAGTTAGTGTGACCATTCGTTGAAGGTGACATATTGATAATAAGTAAAGTTACTGTGACACTATTCATTGGTGGTGACTTGGTGGAAATAAACAAAAGTTATTAAGAAGTTATTAATGAGATCCAAATTGTGTTCCAGTGTAGTGACGTATATAACGTACGTATAATATTTTGTCGAGAATAATGTATTGACATCAAAGGAAATCGCCTATCCTTGTTTCAATTAACACATAATTTTTTACCGCTTTTTTGCGGCCATTATTTTGTAGCCTGCAAAGAGCCATCCACTACAAAATTTTGAGGATGTCTTCGCGAAGGAACTTACATAACTTGACAAACCTTGTTGCAGCATTCACTCAGCTCTCTGAAAGTGATTGCTCCAACAATTGTGAAAGAACTTCTGAAGGAGATAACGATGCGAACGCTAGCAATATTGAAAGTACGATACGCACTCTGTTCCCTTCTGTAAATGGTCGTTCATCCACAACCACAACAGTCGGAGGAGCAGCGACTACAGCAGCTAATACTTCAATGCACCACACGTCTCCACCGTTCCACCCAAGTGTAAATTATGGAGTAGGAAAAAAGTCAAAACGCCGTTTTTTCTTTGATGTCAGTGGCAGGGCGCGGAAAAAAATGTCGTTTGTTCGAAAAAAATGTCGTTTTATGAATGTCAATTTCGTTTTATATAAATGAGTTTCGTTTTATAAAAATAATTTTCATAATTTGAAAAATAAATTTAGTTGTGTATATATAAATTATGGTAAACGAATTTTTGTTTTCTTTTATATTTTTGCGTTTCGTTTTACAAATATTGAAAAAGTTGCCAGTATATTATTTTCGACATACGATAATGTGTTTCGTTGTAAATATTTTCGATTTTGGTAATATTGTCCATCTTTGCGCGCCATAATTTAAGCTCGGTTTCCATATAATCGTCGAATCGTCATTCGTGGGAAAAAACTCAATTTTACAATTAAGCCCACTTGATAAGCTGTCAACGAATTTTGAAATACCCGTGATTACCATATGAACGCCAGTCGTCAAAACACCGAAAAAAGCATGGGTACCAGGCAAAATTTGCGCGCACTTCGAATATAGCGGGACAAAAAAAAACAATGGACAATTTACTTCTAAGACACAGCAAATATATACATATTTCTCCTATAGCAAGTACACGTCGTCTAGACCTGCCCAGATGGTTATATTGCTTAAAAAATCTGTATAATCTAAGAGCTTGAACAAAATATCTTTTCGACGATTTTAAGCATTAACGTCAGTAATAAATCCTTGAAGGATGTCCGTTACAAGAGCAACATTCGATGATTGATGCTTATTTGTTAGAAGAATTAGAAATGCAATGCCTACTTTGGTTTTATTTTTACCATGCACCATGGTATTTGCTCTTTTTAAAAGCTTTGCTTTTACTAAACTTCTCAATTAACGTGTCTTCATCTTAAAGTGTTAATAAGAATTAAGAAATATGTAACCTCAACCTGTTTCGGTAAGTAATGTCATGAGAGAAATTAAAATGACAACAAATCTCAGTATATTTGTTGTGTATTTCTAGATTCTATGTATGCCGGCAGATATCCTGCAATAACTGCGACATAATTACGATAATTATAAGATACAATTCCTAGACTCTACTGTCTGTTGTTACCTGTTACCAAAAGTTGTTTGTAAAAGAGTGGCTATACCACTCACGAAGAATACGGTAGATATCAGCTTTCCGACAACCACATCATCCGTAACACATAATGCTGGTGCAATGATGATTGGAACCGCTAAGGTTGATCCAAACATTGTAAGATAGTGCTGCCAGTAACGATAAAATGCATACAATTACACATGTGGTTGGCTTCGGGATACAATACAACAGATCTTTGCAAAATAATGTATTGAAAGCAAAGTCATTTTGATATAACCCAATTATACATTTTTGAAATAGAAAACTATATGATACATTTTCAGTAAACTTGTCTCGCTTTTATTGAGACCCACGCATATTTTCATTCAAGTACAAGCTTTGTGAGTTCGACAAGCTTTAGGACTAGAATTTGTCACGACCAGGTCCCAAAATAAAGGCATGATTAACTCAACGTTTATAATTATGTTCACGTTTCTTACCTGAAATCCCAAAAACAAAGCGAGATACCATGGCGGCGTTTCATCAATTCTATAGTTCAATATAATAGTATCAACATCAGAAGTTTTGCTCTCTTGTTTGCGTTCATCTTTTGTCATCATTTTGATTTTCTATTCGATGTAAGGTAGTTATATGACTAAAGTAAATCCTAAATTTGAGAATTATAAAGTCAAAGGTTTGGCTTCAACTGTCGAATTAAAAATAACGTATCCAGTATTGAGACAAGACAATCTAATAATGCCCAACGCGATCACACAGCGGGATGTTTGTTGATGGAAAAATTTTAGCGTTTTCAACAGTGACTGACTGATACAACAGAAAAATGTATTTGTATGTTTATATCCAATTCAATCTTTGCCGTAGATAAAGAAAAGCGTAAATAGCACATGGTTTGCTAATTAAGAGTTTGTCATGCATGTAAACACTCAAGTGTCATGCATGCAAACACTCAGGAGTCATGCATATAAACACTCAGAAGGAGAAGGGAGAGGAAGTGAAGAAATATCAACTCATATAACCCAGCTACAATAACTCTCGAGTAGGTGCAACCCTCGACCTTCGGTCTCGAGCTTGCACTGATCTGCTCTCGAGTTCTCGCAAAGGTCTCCTCGGTTTGCATAAGATCGTGCAAACACAGTAAACATCTTCTATTTCTAAAATAATAGATGGAAGGCCTGACAATTTTTTGAAGCCGAATTTGACAGACACGCGTGTCTGAAGGTCACAATTGACGTGTATTACACGCGCGAAATTACACGTTATGCGAGACTTTTTACTAAAACATGTTTTTACCGTTGGCGGCCCAGAAATCTGTTTAAGTTTTTTATTCAATCGATTTATGTCAATAGTAAATATATTATTTGATTTATGTGCAATGTTTGACACGCACGCGATCTCGCGGGAATTCCACGTTTGTATGGTTTTAATAGTCTTATATTGTAATTATAAAAATATAAATAATGACATAAAAAATTATGTTATACGAAGTTCGTAAGTATCTTGCGCATAATAGTGGCTTCTTTGGAACAAAAACGCTTTAGTTTTTGTCATGTTTCCACTTTCCCGACATACGAAAACAAACAACTCTGGCAAAATGCCTTTTAGTTATGGCTGTCTTTGGCTTCCTTTACAAAAATTTATCTGTCGATATTGAGTATGCTTGATGTTAAGTGTCATTTGAAAAGGTGTTTTTTTTTGCCAAATAAAAACAAAAAAGGATTTTTGTACGGTGGCCCATAAGGGCCATCACTTAAAAAAAGTCACAACACAAGTAAATGTAATCACAACGCAAGTAAAATAATCACAACGCAAGTAAATAAAGTCACAACGCAAGTAAATAAAGTCACAACGCAAGTAAATAAAATCACAACACAATTAAATATAGTCACAACTCAAGTAAATATAATCACAACGCAAGTAAAATAATCACAACGCAAGTAAATATAATCACAACACAAGTTAATAAAGTAACAACACAGATAAAATAATCATAACGCAAGTAAAATAAAAACAACTCAAGTAAATATGGTCACAACACAAGTAAATGTAGTCGAAACGCAAGAAAAATCACCGGATATAAGCCATTCTATTATATTCCTATATGCCATAAACAAGATGGCTGAAAGAGAGATAATAACACAATATTTTCATTTGGGTTATTCAAATAGCATCATAAAAGACTTCTTATCGAACTATCACGGCATAGAAATGAGTTTAAGGACTTTAAAACGTAGATTGCAGGACTTTGGCTTGAGACGAAACTCCAATGTCAACGAAAATGACGAATTGAGAATAAGGGAAGTACAGTACAGAGTGTTCAAAAAAGGCACTCACCAAACAGGCACTCACAACAGAAGGAATGCCCGACTCCAAGTACAAAGAAGCTGTTAAAAAGGTATGCTGCAACAAGATGGAGATTACCATATGCTTAATTATTACTCGTTGCTGTGGCATGATTTTGAAATAAGTCTATTTTTATTATATTCTCTGATGTCAGTAATGATTACTTTACACTTCTCCTTTTCAAAGATAAAGCAAGCTTGTGACGATGAAATGTTGAGGGAGATACTTGTCAGCGATGATATGATTGAAATGCTATCAGAGGCTGGATACACTGGTGTACCACATAAAGAGACAGTGCATACTGTTTCCAAAATTGCTCAGTAAGTACATTTTGAAAGTTAATGGAGATTAAAAAAACTATTCTTGTGCTGCTGGTTTATAAAGTCTAAGATTTATTTCTATTTTAAAGGTCAATTTGCGTAATGGGCCACTTTTCATCAGTTCTTCCTCAAATTATGCAATTGGTTGAAGGCCTCAGCAGTTGTGGTCTTATAAATTATATGATAGAAAATCCAGAGTTGTGGAAGCCATTGTTCGATCCTTATAACGATTCGTTTAAACTTTCTGCTGATACTTTCCTCAATGAAATTATTCCAACATTCAGCAGTTCGCAGATTCACAAGGAAAAGGAGATTGACGTGTACAAGATATTTTGCGACTATGTGCAAACCCTAGATACTGAAGGTTAGTTTGAATATATATGTTGTAAATTGGGTGCCAAATTGTATTATTGTATTTACGATGGAATTTTTTGAAAGTATCAAATAACGCGTAAAATTTATTGAAGTGATGTTTTCTAATCTGAAGTTGTGGTATAAACACAAAAAATGGATACCTTGATTAGTTTGTTTATTCATTTTTCAGTCTTAAATGTTTAAAACGTTTTTAACAGGAGACGTATCCATATCAGCGTTTCTGAAGTGATTATCGGGATGTAAGACTATTCCAGTTCTGGGTTTTCCAAAAAAAATTTCCGTAACGTTTGTACATGATTGCAAAGAAAATTGTAAATGTCGCCCCACAACATCAACATGCGATCTTCTGCTGAGAATTCCAGTTCATATAAGTAACATTAGTGAGATGGAGGAAATGATGACATCAGCATTTAATGACTGCGCTGGTTTTGGATGTATCTGAATCAATGTCCATACAATGGTAGCTTGGGAACATTTTTATATTTATGTTGTCATTGAAATATTTTTGTTTGTTCCGTTCTAATTTGCCAGTTTGAAAGAACGTTTCAAGGGACAAGTCTTTATTGAAATTTGACTTTTGGTGCAGAATTTATATCAATAAGAAAGATGCCTGATTTTGCTTGCATCGGTACGCTGCGCAATAAAAAAAAAATATAGAAAACATACAATCATCATGTATAGAAATACAAGAAACATCTATACCATGCAATATAATAGGCAGAAAATTCAATTCTCAGAACTTGCAAATTCAATAAGTTTCAGATACAATTCAAATGCATCGGCTGCATTTGCTGGCAGATTAAGATCTTCTTTATCCAGTACGTAATTAAAATATTCTTTGTATATTTCTAATGTATCAAACTCCTCGTCGCCTATTGCGTGTTGCTCCATTTCATGAATTCGTTCATTTGCTACTGCACGCTTACATTCGGCAGCACCAAAATTCCCTGGGAGATAATACAGAACATCTGGAATACCTGCTACTGTACCGTAATTTCTTGTTGGACGAATGCGATGTGTGTTCCATTGCATTTTGACAGCTTCTAGCTCACATGATAGGACAGGAGAAAAACAAAACCATAGACACTCCATTTGCAGTGTATTCCCTATTTCTAACTGACCAGAAGCAACCATGTCTTTGAAAAAGTCCATCCAGCATCCTGTTCTGGCTCGGCGAAAGTAAGACCACCAGCCCTCTATTCGCTGGTTAGCAGACGAAGTTCCATATTTATGGGCGTTGTGGCCAGCGAATACGTCATTTCCATCCTTTCGAAAATAACACTGCATGGCCGCAAGTACTCCATTTTCCGTACCACAATCACTTCTAACAACAAGGGGGCAGCCTTCGATGTTTTTTACACAGTCCAAATAAAATCTGGCTGGAACTTCGGGTTTATTGTTTGATCCCACAACTTCTAGCCATAAAATTTTGCGGCTGTATCCGTCTATTGCTCCGTGGATAGGAAACCCGTACGGCTTTAATTTTTCATATCCTGCATAATACCACATCAGAAAATGTATGCTTTCATGCTTTTATGCTATAGAGAGTCGACTAAGTGCAGAAAAAGTACACTAACCATCGACATGCCAGCAAAAGTTTGGACCAAAACTTGTATACCTGCGTCTTGATAGCCTTCTTCGACGTCTTTGCTGAACACCTTCGGGATCGATTTCCTGAAGAACCTGTGCAACCACTTGACGAGGCACGTGAATGTGGTATTGCAAACGAAGAACATGCCATATTGATCTGTAGCCCAGTACAGAGTGTTTATAGTACAGAGTGTTCAAAAAAGTTTTTAAGGAATTAAAGTATTGTGATAATTTCAATGTGTATCATTATGCTAAGCCACGGGTGCATAAAGTATTGTGGATTGTCAGCTATGTGCATATATTACATATTTCTGGCAGGGCCGCGTTTAAACCTCGGGGCCCCAAATTATTGCCTCTATAGCGACCTAAAATTGCAGTTAGAAGATGAATGTAATTGACTGAGTTCAAATCGGCGATTTGCACAGACTAAAGCAGTTAAATAGAAAAGGAAAAAGTTCATTTCCTTTGCTATACAAAAATATAATCGTAAAACACAACATGAGATGCATGATAACATATCAAAAGTTCAATTCAGAATTTTTTGATACACTCAGTGTATAGCGTTATTTACTTTTAGCCTAAATCGCAGGGCCTATAAAACACGCAGGGCCCGTGGAATTTGCCGCATTTGCCCCAATGTAAACTCGGCACTTATTTCTGCTCTTGAGAATTTAACATTACTTCTAAACATGCACGACAATGTACACGCACGTTTAGCATATTGATCACGAATAGAAAAATTTCATATTAGGATAACTTCTATAATGTCTTCTTTTCTTATACACCCTGTATATTTAACGATAGGGTGGATTAATTTAACTAATCCATTTAAATTTCAATGCCAGAACACATTACTAATAACATCCTTGTATAGCTTTATAGGTTGCACATCTTATCATCGATTTGGCTATGCTGCTGCTGGACTATTTAACCGGCTAAATCCATAATCAACACACTTAATCAAAATATTATAAGCTTCAGCTACATCAAAATGTCTTAAATGACAAGAAATATCACAAAATATTATTTTTGTTCTATATTTATCACCTAGTCACTTGTCTTCGTTCATCAGTAATATAACCGACTAGTTTCATCCACCATGCCACTTAACACACAGATGTTGTGCATAGAAACACGAATGTACAGGAAAATAAACAAAACAGCTGAGACCACATTGAATTGAATTAAATTGTTGTTTAATTTTGTGTTTAAGAATGAGCAGGAACAAGCTCAGTTGAGAAGCTGTATTATTCTATAAATTACAAAACTTCTGTGGCATGTTATTTAGAGAAGTAAAGGTGACGCGAATCTTTAAATTATATAATAAACTGGACGTCTTCAAAGCAAGGAAAATTTATTGAACATATATATTAACAAACATAGCACACACAAAATATACCTGTCTTTAACAAAATGGGCACGCTTCTTTAAAACTTCGAATGATGAAACTAGTGGCGGTTTAGGGTACGTCAAAATAAATTACTGCAGCTCGTTTTGGCATGTATTTACATTTCTAAGCACCTTAGAGGCAAATCCATGGGTAAAGTGATATTCTTTAGAAATTCAAAACCATTCTGAAACTACTTTGAATTTAAAATTGGCAGCTATGATTTATTTTGACGAACGCTGGATCCGCTACTGGATGCAACGGCAATTAGGTGTTTACCATTGTTTGTTATTAATTCTTTGATCTTATGTTTGATGTTTGGTGCTTGAGTTTCCAAGAAGATCAGGTGCTATTTTGTGGTAAACTTCGAAGAAATACCCCTGTACGTACTTTGTACCAGAAATGTAGAGAAAATATCATTACTGCGTAATTTGATACATGCAAATTTAAAATATAAGCAGTCAACCAAATGTAATAATTTCAAGGAACAACATATGCAGGGTCAGTGTTGCACGTACAAATTAATGAGGAATACTACAAATTCACTCGGAACACTAATGATCAGCATGTTCTAGTTTCTTCCCCATCAAGTAATCTTACTCTGGTAATTTTTATGAGATGACACATCTTTTGTCAACCCAATTTATGTTTGCGGGGAAATTTCTTGAAAATATTTTATAAAACTGAAGATGTTGGGAAGTTGGGCTAGCCTAATTCATCACTTGCTGTCGACTGTCCAATATATGACAAAGCAAACTTGTTGTTTACATAATGTGGTCAATTCCAGCTATTTTTGCTGCAAAAAATTCAAAAAATTTATGCTAGAAAACACTTTCAAAAGCAAAAATAGTATATCGCCATTTACACCAATACTAATATACTTTCTGTGTGAAAATTCACATTTAAGATTTATTACTTCTCATCTTTTGCTCGTAGGGTCCTCTACACTGAACGTCTACGTTTTCCACAGCACGGGAATAGCATCAAACAGGCCTTGGTCATCTATATCGCGTTCCATTGTCTAATTTTTTCTAGGTTCTGTTTGACTAGTCAAAGAAATATTATATATACCCATCAAGTAAACTTAGCATCAACTGTGGTGTTTCTTTATGGTGAAGCCAGGCCGATTGTTTAGTCCTGCTAAATAAATTTTGATGTAAATGAAACGCTCGAGCAGCCAGACATTTGACAACAATCACTATTTTTCAAAACTTTACGTTAATAGACAAAACCCATTTTTATTATATGCAAAATAGAAATCATTCATTGATTCAATACTAAAAATTGTGTTCGTCACACTTATTCAAATAACTTCTATTTACTCACAAATACAAAATCAATACATTGCAAAAGCTGCTGTTACCTGATACCAAAAGTTGTCGGTAATAGTCTTTTCATGGAAAATATGGTAGATATCAGCTTTCTAACAGCCACCAATCATTAACACAGGTACAATGATGATTCGAACCGTTAAAATTGCTCCAAACATTGTCAAGTAGTGATGCCAAATGAAAGCACAAATAAACTTTACGTGGTTGACATCAGGAATGCATAATGTATGATATCGTGAAGCTCTGTGTTACTTTGGTGCGGCCCTCTAGAGATTTATCATTAAAATAGAAATTAGTATTACTGCAACAAGAAATAGGAACATTCATTTTGTGACTGTCCCGTTTACCTGAAATGGGAGAAATCTCAGAAACAAATCATGTCCGCAAATTATGCAAATAAATAAAACATTTTTTCACATTCCGAATTATATTGTTGAAATGTGGTGTTTTTAATTATCAGATATTTAGTTAGGAGCAATGAATTGGTCATTGTAAAAGCCAAGGCTTTATAGTTCTTGGAGATAATGTTTCATGAATCAAATTACACACATAGACGACAAGATGTCAAAAGTTCGCAACGTGAAATTTGTGTCAACGATATGGGCTGAGAACATTTTCAACATATGAAATCGAAAAACGTCAATTTCGGTGCTAATCTTGTTAAAAAATATTCAGAATAAGGCAGAATGGCGTTTAAAAACACGTGTTATTCAATCACAGCTCGACAGACGCAGTTGATAGTATTACAAATTTAACATTGAAGATGTCGTGGACTCCGTCAAATCAAATTTTATACAATCTGTTCTTTTTCTCATTCTACGCTGGGTATACACCTTTTGTGATGTTTCGTCCTGTCTATTTCAAATACATCGGACTTCCTCCAATATGGGTAGGACTAACATGTGGCTTACGTTTCATATTGCAAACTACCATCACGCCGCTATTAATTATTATTGCAGAAAAGTTTTCCTCGCGTAAGCTTATGTTTGTCCTGTCGTACATAGCTCTTATTGGAAAGTTGATGATTATATTTCTGGTTCTTCAACCAAAGCAGGAGACATGCGTTGTGAAACATGTTGATAAACACAAAGCGAAGACCTTTCGTACACATCACGTGCTCTTCAAACGTGAAAGTATGAATCTCAAGGAAGTTAATGATGGACATATTACATTAAACAACTCTTCCACATACAAATTTTTTCACCTAAATTCTTCTACTGACAATTTAACATCGCACAAAAGGATTTTTGGTAAGCAATTTAATGACATAATGAATTTCTCAATCCATAATATCAACGCGAATAACAGACTTTGGGATATTGATCCAAAGAGTCGTTCCAGCGAATCCAAAAACGTAACACACTCTGAAGTTTACACTGAAAACATCATATACAGCAATGAAAAGGAACTTTTCAGAATATTTATTTGTTTGTTAGTGTTAGTTGTCATTAGTGATGCATTTGATGCAACAATGTTCACTTTGGTAGAAGATTCTTGCTTGGCTACAAAAGACATTGAACATTACAGACAGGGACAGACTTTTGGAACCGTAGGATAGGAAATAATTTGCCCGTGCATTGGTATAATCTTATACATTTTTAACCAAAAAATCTGTGGAATGTATATTGGATCATTTCATTACGTTTTCTATTTTATATTTGGATTTTTGACCATTGCCTTTTTGTGTGGCATGTGTCTTGAGTATCCCTCACACTGCAAGGATGTTGTTTCGAAAAAGGTGCAAAACCCAAGTTCGAACTTTATATATAGTCTGTTTAATTTTGCAATTTCCTATTCTGGCTTTTGCAACGGATTTTTATTGACGTTCACTTATTGGTTCATCGATGGTCTGAGTGGTAGTGCAGTGATGATGGGGTTGACAACTGCTGGCCGCGCGGTAGTAAATATACTCATTGATATTGTACTAGTTAAAGTCATTGGATTTACAGGACATCAAATAGTAGTGAACATTGTTCTTGTATGTCATATCATAACATTTGTTATCTATTGGTCTATGAAGTGGCCGTTTCTTGTTATATTGGCAGAAATATTTCATGCAACAGCACACATAACAATCATTCAAACATGTGCTTCATTTTTGTCGAAAAATACTCCAACTGGATCCAGTCCCAAGATGCAAGGTAAGAAATTTTGCGCAGAACCTTAAACTAGGAAACTTTTGTCGTGATTTGAATAAATGACATGCTTTAAATTTCTATCCGACTTTGTGAAACCAAGGTCAAAGTCTAAAAATAATCATAACGAATAAGGAACGAGTATTTTTTTGAAATATGTTGCTTACAAGTTAACCGGTTAGAAAAATAATTATGAACTGCAGCTCTGCAACAACGATACAGGCCCGTTTCATATACGTCAAACGATTCATACGTCAAATAAATTAAGACAAAAAATAAAGGTTTAGATTTCTCAATATCTCTTTGTTAATGCACTTGACATAATTTCGAAACTGAGCAACACCACAGGCAACTCTTACCCAAACAGCGAATTCTTTGTGCATTTTCAGCAATCCTACAAGGAGTGTACTGGGGACTGGGAACAGGATGTGGCTCAATATTCGGTGGATATTATCTTGAATATTCTGGATTCAAGAAAACATTTTTGGTGTTTGCAGTGATCACTAGCATGGTGTGCATCGTTTTCCTCTTCTTGCAGATTTTACTATTTCTCATCAAACCAGAAGTTACGGTAGACGATATGTGGTCAGTCTGGTCTAGTAACAGTAATTACACAAGCGAATACGAAGGTTCCTCTGAAGAATCTGACGATTATTAATTAATAGTTATTTTCATATTATTGAATAAATACATTAATGTTGGAAGGTATGATGACTACTATCTTACGGTGTTCTAAAAAACATCAAAAATTCAAAAGAATGAAAATAAAATGAATCCAGTAATAAAAATGGATGTTTTTTTCATTTTCATCTAATTTTTATCATTGAATACACCGATTTCCAGGAACAGTTATCGTGCCATAACAAACAGACGGACTTATGAAGGAATCTCCAGGCTCTAGCTTCTCTCAGCCATATTAAAAATTTCTGTTTCATCATCGTAATATGGCAAGAACGGAATAAATTTAGAAAACTTTGACTTATTGAAAATGCCAAATGGTAGATCGTAAACATGAATGGATGCAACATTCGATGTCGCTCGATCAGCAGTGAGTTTGCGCCATTCTTTTATTCCTCTTTCTTCGACAGTTCCTGGAATGAGGTTGTCTAGGAGACAAGCAATTGTTCCACCAACAGCCATACTTGTCTTCAATAATACTGTGAATATTTGATCCAACTCATCAACACCTTTGAAATATATGGGAATTTGAAAATTAGAAACTTTTTTAAATATTGAAAGATAGCTTAATAATATGAAATTAAGATCTTCAATATATTGCACCTACAACAGCAATCTCTCAAAATTTAATGCGCAAACATAAAATAGTTAGCTACTTAGAAACAACAACACTTTTAGCATACGACAGATTAGGACAAGCGTTATGCAACACAGACAAATGGATTGACATGTATAGAAGCTAAACATGTTGAAGTATGTAGCTGGAAAATTTCAGGAAAAACCTGACACTTATGGCAGTCTTACCCGTATTGATGACACCCGCATTCTTATTAAGATAATCTGGTATCACCAAACCCATAACAATTGCAAAACCAATAATAAAAAGATTGCGCACGGAATTCAAATCAACAAATTGCAAATTAGATATTCCAACGGCAGTTATAAGACCAAACATAACACAAAAGACTCCACCGATGACAGGATCAGGAATAGTAGAGAACAAAGCTCCAAATTTTCCAAATAATGCAAGTATAATCATAAGAATTGCACCACATTGAACAACTCGTCTACTTCCAACCTAAAATATGTAATAATATAAAATAATAAACAAATAACATTTCATAATTACACTTTCACTGAATGTCTATCGCAAAAACATGAAAAAATAAAATCCACCTTAGTAATGCCCAGGGCTCCAATGTTTTCACTAAAAGAAGTTGTTGCATTTCCAGTACCAATTGCCCCTGCAAGTAAACATGCAACACCTTCGACGCCAATGCCGCGGTTTATTGCGTGTGGTGGTGGTGGTGGTGCTCCAGACAGCCGTGCGCATGCGTAATAGTCTCCAATAGATTCAATCACTCCTGCAATCACTCCTGCAAACATTCCAAATACACCAGCTAAACTGATTGTAGGAGTTCCCCATTGACCTAAAAGATAATTTTTCACACGTTTAATTTTGAATTTGAGAAATCCCTGAGACCTTTCACTTATTTATTCACTAACAGTTTCGCTTGAACAAGTATCAAAAAAAGTCACATATACCGGGATATGGGACTCTAAACCAAGGAGACTGTGAAAGTACAGATGATCTTGAGTCGGTTCGGGCTTTTGAAGTTGCAGAGAAAACATCTGTTTCGGTGAAGATGGCACAAAATATCCAGCTCACAATAATTGCAATAACAACCTTAAAATAAAGTTGAATGGCTAACTTATGAATGTTAAGCTGATAATTATATCGATTAAAAGAATAATTTATGGCCAATTAAATGACCATTTTTTATTGCCAAATCAACTTGGTTAAGTAAAATTCATATTCCTTAATTTAGTCACAATGAAACACTCACGGGAAACAATCCAAATATAGCAACACCCGTTGTATGAAAACCTCTAAGTCTGGAGTATGTGGGTAAAGGAATCTTTACCCGAGATAGAAACTGAGAGCAAATTGTGATAACAGCAATTGTTCTAGAAATAAAAAAATTATTTTGTGAAGTTGGAAGAAGAAATATGATTCCAAATTTCGTTATGTGAATCAAAATATCGACCGTGAATTAATCATCCATGTTGTAAAATTATTAATTTCATATCCGTTTCTAAATACAGCAAAACAAGTTATGAAAAGAGGCGAACCAAAATTTTCACCGCGCTCCAGAACACCGGTGATAACTGTTGATCTTTCCTGACTTAAATTAATTATTTTACTACGGCCATGTTGTATTTTATATCAAATCTAAGTATTTTATAACTACTCATATTCGTCTAAAATCTTCTCTTTATTCTTTGCATGGAGCTGAAATGAAACCCCCCACTCTTAAAGTGAAGCTGAAATGAAACCCCCCACTCTTAAAGTGGAGCTGAAATGAAACCTCCCACTCTTAAAGTGGAGTGGAAATGAAACATACATTTTTATCTGTTAGCAAATATTTTAAACTTTCCGGCTCTTCCTACAGTATTTTGTAACCTTTTCTGGTGTTTTTATCAAAATTGAAGAACAGGAATGCAAGTATATTTTGCCTCAAACTTGGTAATTTGGAATTTTGCCTCAAATACTTACATGATTGCAATTCCCCAATGTTTAGCTAGACAGAAAAAAATAAAGAGATATTTAAAAAATAATTTAGAAAATAACTTTTAAATCAATGCATTAATCAGAATTGATTAGTTCATATACCTGCATAGTCAGAGCAGACAGGGAATAATGCCAAGCCAACCAGTGCAATTGTGGGTGCAATTGTTATAGGACCAATAAAACGCAAAAGAAAACCGATCAGTCCGGTAAAGCCAATAAAGATTTGAAACAAAGACGATACCATGATAGCCCCTTGAACCTAAACCAAATGTAACAACTGAGTTTCTCATCTTATACCTCTGTAGGCTTTGTTTGATTCATTGTACAAATGTCCGCTACTCAAAAAACGGAAGAAAACACAATTTCATTTTAGCAAAATTCGATGTGCTTTATTAGCCTACTGGGTAAAAGTACTTAATAAATTGGAACAGAATGATGTGAACAACAGATTCGACCGAATCATATAGAATACAAAATACAATAGATAAATGCATGGCCAATTTGATAAGACCATGGGGTATAGAGATGTATTTGGATGCTCGTTTATTCATCCTTCGTGCAGAATTTTCCAGGTTTCCAGGCCGGGCATCCAGAAAAATGTGCATACAACATGGATTCAATCACTAATATTGTGAAACATATAGCTTCTTCGTTTGATATCATAACATCTACATCAAGTTTTTCAGCAACTGTTTAGGTTTTTAAAGTTGAGATAATTAGATAAATATTTTCGACAAAGATACATCATTCATACTGTCACAATTTTTGACTGACTCGTTTTCGTTAATCAGTAATGATTATGTAGCTTTTACTTATTTGGTAATGTAAAATAAACCATGCATATTGCATGTTTTAAATTCTTTGCAATTCACGAATAAAAACGAGAAGCGAAAATTTACTTGTTAAAAACATTAAGTATTATGCTAGATTATTTTCATCTATTATTTTGAGCCTTGCGTCAACTTTGATTGTCAAAAATAGTTAAATCTGTTTTTCATTGACCATTTTCGATACAAAGTAAAAAAGATTACTTCAACTACCTAAAATTCCTTTTTTGTTGAATAATTTATTAGATAAACTTTGCCACAAAATTTTGCAGTCAGTATTAACTGAATCATGCTCATATTGGTCTTACACTATCATAATAAGAACTATCTGATTATACATGCTCAATATTCAATACAGCTACCTCTCGCATTCGAATTTGCCAAATCTCGTCTGAGTTCGAGGTACTGTTCTCTGTATTGTTGGTGTCTATAAAAGCATGATTTTATACCAATTATATATCGCTATATATATTGTTAAAGTAGTTATAATAATTTGATAACTCTGATACGTCCTAATTCGTTCATAACATTCATTTGACATATCATCAAAGAGCGTTCTCAACTTTTCATTATTGTTGAGAAATTCTTCATGTCTTAACTCTATGCATGATCATTTCAGTGGTCCAAAAAAGCATCTTACTATCAGAGAAATTAATTTTCGCGCTGCAGTAAATCTTTACAATAGAGAATATATTTAGGCGTAGGATATTTAAGTCAATTCATAATTCCAGTTATAGGTTGTATACAAACCTTTTAATCCAGGAGGACACTGAAATTTAGGTAGGGACAGAAGAGCAAAAGTTGGTACCAGGTAGGAGAATGTAGTGCCTTGAACTATTGGAAGCCTAAAAAATTTTGTTTGCTATTTTACATCAAATGATAATATGCTATAACTCTAGAATACTTCATGTTGAACGAATAACATGTAATTTGTACCAAGAAACAAAGCTGCTGATATTGAAATCAGAAATTTGGATAGAATATTGAACGCTACAGCTGCCATAAGAGCAACTGGGTGCATAGTGTTATTATGATTACTGATAGTGATGTTTGCACAAATCACAAATTACAACTTTATACAAAAGTATAATATATCTTAAATAGTATTGGATCTAGAGTATTCACACTGGGGGAGCCCCTGATTTACCAATTGAACCAATTATTTTTTGTGCTGATGAACTAAGACACCATTCATTGGTGATATCTTGGTGGAAATAAACGAAGTTACTGTGACCATTCGTTGAAGGTGACATATTGATAATAAATAAAGTTATTCTGACCATTCATTGGTGGTGACATATTGATAATAAGTAAAGTTACTGTGACACTATTCATTGGTGGTGACTTGGTGGAAATAAACAAAAGTTATTAAGAAGTTATTAATGAGATCCAAATTGTGTTCCAGTGTAGTGACGTCCATAACGTACGTATAATATTTTGTCGAGAATAATGTATTGACATCAAAGGAAATAGCCTATCCTTGTTTCACTTAAACACATAATTTATTGTCGATTTCAGTTAACTTTTCAATTGGCGGTTGCCAAGTTACTTTCTAATGTTGCCAACTACATTTCCAAATAT